AAAAATGTGCACAGTCTTTGACTCAGCAATAGCACTTCTAGGGCTGTATCCCAAAGAGTTCATAAAAATGGGAAAAGAACCTACATGCATAAAAATATTTATAGCAGCTCTTTCTGTGGTGGCAAAGAATTGGAAATTGAGGGGATGCCCATCAATTGGGGAATGGCTGAACAAGTTGTGGTATATGAATGTAATGGAATACTATTGTGCTATAAGAAATGATGAACATGCTGACTTCAGAAAAACCTGAAAAGACTTGTGTGGACTGATGCTGAGTGAAGTGAGTAGAACCAAGACAATATTATACACAGTAAGAGCCACGTTGTGCAATGACTAACTGTGGTAGACTTAGATCTTCTCAGCAATGCAAGGATCTAAGACATCTCCAAAAGTTTCATAATGGAAAATGCTAGCCCTATCCAGAGAAAGAACTGTGGAGTCTGCAGGCAGATTGAGCATACTATTTGTTCTTTTTCTTTCCTTCTGTTTTGTTTTGTTTTGTTTCTTATTTCTTGTGGTTCCTCCTATTGGTTCTAATTCTTCTTTACGACATGACTAATGTGAAAATATGTTTAATAGGAATGTATATGTAGAGCCTATATCAGATTGCATGCCGTCTTGGGGAGGGAGAGAAAATTTAAAACTCAAAAGCAAATGGAAGAGAATGTTAAAAAAAAAAACAGGCTCAGAGTACCATTCTAAACACACTACCACCTCAATCTTTTTAATGGATAGTTCTGATTATGTCATTCTCAGCTCAAAAGCCTTTAACAAGACCTTGCTGCTTACTGAATTAACAAATATTTTGGCCTCTCATTCATGGTCCTTTACAAACTAGCATCAGTCTACAACTCTGTACTACTCTACACTCAAAATCATGCTAGATTAGTCCCCTTACCAAATATGTCTGTGATTCTCTATAACTGTGTCTTTGCTTATGTCATTCCTGAATCCTAGAATGTCCTGCCATACACCTTCTTCTTCTGAAACTGGATACTTGCTTCAAAGTCCAACTTAAATGCTGCCTCTTCCGCAATGCCTTGCCTGATTTCCTACAGCCACAAACGATCTTTTCTTCCTCTGTACACTCAGATAATTTTGTTTGTCCCTCTTACATAATTGTCACATACTATTTGTAACATCTGTAATTTATGCAAATCTTTTCAACGTCCACTTCTAGGTTTTAATCTGAAGACAAGAGACTATCTCTTTAGCACTTGCACATAGCTGATTCTCAATATGGTAGATTAAAAACTGCACAGTTTTAACTATTTCTATGTTCCCTTGCCCAAATTCTCAGAAGGATCTTTTACACAGTAGGTACTTCATAAATGTTTGCTGAATTGAATTGCCAGAAGTATATTTCCACCTCTAGGCTAAGCCCCTTACCACCTCTCTATAAGTTAATGCTAGAGTTGGAAAGTGTGAGGATTCTTCAGGGGAAGCAGAACAAGGAAAAGAAGAAAACAAGTCACCCAAGATTAACTTTGTATCCTAATTTGAAATAAATTTTTTTTGAACAAAGATTCTTATTCTTTCACAAACCCTGGTATCACTTGAAACAAGGCCACAAAAACATTCCATATATATCTTCATCCATTTTAATTTTTAAAACAAAAATTTCGATGGAGAAGCAGAGGATATATAGTATAGATATTTCTATCATCTACCTCCTTCCTTTGTCTAACAGCCTTTTGGAGGCTACTAGATGCAGGTGGGAGGCAAACTGGACCTAACCATACCTAATGACATCCTTGTATAGCTCCCTGATCTTGAGATAATCACACTTGGCTTCCCAAAGGCTGAGAAAGACCATTGCTCCTGTCATCATCTTTGTATTTCCCTTATAGCCATTTCTGGAAGTGACTTAAGAAGATTAACATATAACAGTATATTTTTGTCATAATGAGGATGAATACCCAATCAACAGGAAAGATCCTGCCTGAACCTAAAGACCCAAACGAAAAACTATAATCAGAAACACTACACAGAAGAGCTTTCATTTCAATAAGAGGAAACCCCCCCCCCACTATGTTTAGTCATAAAACTCCCACTGTTTCTTTGAAAAAAATAATGCATTTATGCTCACAAGATATTATTAAGGATGCATGTAACTGGAAAAAATGGCAAGCTGGTCATTTTGCAAGACTAAGAGATAATAGCCAAGGGAGTAATATAGAGGGACCTCTAAGGCACTGAAAGAAAAAAGTCCTTAGAAATCTTGAACAAAGCTCCTCTGGAGTATCATTGGAGAAGCATGGATAAGAATCATATACACAGAGGAATGTATGAATGTATTGCCATCAGCACTGACAGAGGATGTTCATGGCAAACTTCAAACTTTGTAGTAATTCATCACAGAAAAAACTCAAGAGAGAGTTTCATTTTCAAATTCCATGCTCACCAATCAATCTACTTTTGCTCATAAATACCTAGAAAAACAAAACTGGCAAGTTCTGGTTCTGAAGTTAAGACTTAAAGAAACCCTGACTATTGAACGGTGAACAAAGATTCTGACCATTTAGCAGGGCCAGGACAGAATTAGGTGCTCAGGAAATGCTTACTGACTGTAGCCCACTGCTCAGCTGAAAATGGTAAGGAAACCCCTAAAACAAAGGACTTCATCAGAGCTGTACAGCTATTCTTTAGTTTTACAAAGACATTTTTACTAAAGTAGTAACTGCACTGAAAATTACTTGGCAATAATGCTTACTCAGATTACTTGGTTGTCTTAAGAAAAACAGACTGTTTATTGCCCACCCTAAGCTTATGTAAAACATGCACATATATACACACATCATCCTACAAGCCTAAATTCTGCACCTTATGTGGACTCAGATACCTTACTGACAAGCAGAGAATGTCATCAAAAGACAGTGAGACAGGGAGATGTAGCCAATGACATATACTATGCCAGTAGTAAGGTTTACCATATTTCCAAGTAATTCATTGTGTATTCATACATGGGAATGTATGCATGCATGTATGTATTCGGCTCCTGGTAATTTTGCTATGCCTCAATTTCCATAACTGCTATTCCTTTCCCAACAGGAAAGTATGTTCTGATGATTAATAAGATAATGCTTATAAGGCCATTTTCTTAAAGAAAAAAATACTTTAAAATTTCAAAAACACTAAACTTAGAAAATCTTCTATGCCATTATTGTAGAAATATTAATAAGCTCTGGCAGCAATTTCGGGTATTATAATGCTAATGTATACAACAGCCTGGTACACGAAGCACTATTAATATTTTGTATAACTTTGGTAAAATTTACAATCTACAAATACATGAATCTGGCTTCAAACTACCTGGTAATATTGCTCACTGCTTCATACTGATATCTTTATTTGATTATAGTTTCAGCAAAAAGCCTGATCAATCAGAAAACATTTTTGGACAATTTATTATAAAGTGCTATTTATGACTGTTGTGACTTTTCTTGATAATCTTCAGTATTAACACATTACCAATAAATGTCCAAATACAAAACACAAATCTAATTTCTAATACCCCAAATTTATTAATAAAATCAAAATATGATTAATTCAATTCTGAAGAGAAAAACTATAGCAACCAAAAGTCACCTCTGGCCTATGACTAAAAATTGTTTTTATTTTTAACTGTTTTAAAATGAATATATGAATATACAATTCACAATTAATTCTGTTTAATGACCTCTTAGACTCTAGGTATTTATGAAGAAAGGTGCTACAATAATGCCTTATATACTCAAATATGAGAGTAATAAAATATTCCACAGAAGTTAATTTTCTAGATTTCTGAAGATGAAGAATATCTGAAGATCAATCCCTTTTATAAATTTTAATCATTTTTGGATAGAAATTACTTAAAAGCATATGTTTTCCTGTTTTCTTAAGCAGAGAAACATAGCTTCACATGACTCAAGGACATCATTATGAACATCAATTATTCTCTGCTGTAATACTGTACCTCCATGCCCACCCCCCACTTCAGCAAGCCTGTCCTTCCACTAAAGTGGCCCAAGACTCCTTTGCTCTTTACAGCTTTTTGTCCCTTCCCTCTTTGCCAGCTGTCCCTTCTTCCTACTCTTCTGCCTCTGTCCGTCTGCCTCTAGAAATTCATTCCTCCCGGGGCTTCAGATCTGTGGAAAATCAGGCTCTATAAAATAGAACCTTTCTTTCACACACAGTTTTAAGTCAAGAGGCTCTGTGTAAGGGCCTAAAGTTGGATCTTCCCTTCTCCTTAAACTGATGACACTTTCAGTCTTTAAATATGTGCTTATTACATCTGCATGCATACAAAGTGTAAAACCCTATGCCTTTTCTATTTCCTCTTGGTTTCAAGTTGCTCCCGTCTCAGAGGCTGCCAGAAGTCTGCATACTGAATGGGCCTGTTTTGGGGGGGAAGAAATGGTCTAGACCTGGGATTTCATCAGTTTAGGGAGTTCCTAACACTGATGCAGATTGGCAATATGTTTATACCTCATCGTCTGGGACACTGAGAGGTTAAGTGACTTGTCCCTGGCCACATAGTGAGGATGTGTCAGAAGGAAGGCCAGTCCTTTATCCCCTACGTTACACTCCTTCTGCTAGGTAGGGTGTTACTCTAAGGAAAATCAAAGCTATTATTATTACAGAGAATGACAATTACAAAATCTGAAAGGGTTCCTGGGCAAAAGTCCAAATTCACCCTACAAATGTTTTAAACTGCCTCAAAAGACAAAAAGAAGACTGTCTACTCTAGTTTTCACCCATACCTATCAGGTTATGAGAAGACTTCTAAAAGTTGGCACCAGGGGCTGGGAAACAATTGGTTTTTACCCTCCTTCTGGAGAACATCATTTGTGTAGGAAAGAGAGGCTCTCATGCCCAATCCTATTTTTAATGCTGTCTGGCTCTATGAAAACAGCTTGTGGCTATTAGTTGTTAAAAGAGGTTACGAAAACAGAAAGAGCTTAGTTTATGCATCGCAATGAAACTATGGATGGGCATGGCGCATCTCCAGTTGCACGCACCCTGTTGCTCATCAAGGGACATGGATCCGAGCTGTTTGTTAACCACAGAAGAAGGAGAATCTGAAACAAAAATGAGATTTCAACTTAAAAATAAGCAGCAGAAAACTGCACAGCAATGTCATGATCATCTACAAGCTTAAAAACAAATGTATAAAGGCAGGGGAAGAGAGGTGAGCGCTGTGGGTATGTTTCCCAAGCAGTGAGTAAGCACAGCCGTGTGGCCAGATATATTATTCCAGGCAAGCATTTAGTAACCTTGAATACAGACTGAGAACACAGAAAATTCTTCTTCTAGTTTCATGCATATACAATTTCCCCCACATTTATTTTGGATAGGAAAGAGGTGCTACATAGATAGATCTATAAATGGAAGCTCACAAAATGGCAGTACATACACTCAATCAGGTTTTTCTTTCATCTATTTCTTAAATCCTTGAAAGAGTCTCCCCAAAAGCTAAAGTGCTCACTGCTTTTTGCTGGGATGTTGTTTTATCAAATTTGAAGTGAACAACAATTGATCAAGAGCACTAGAATCAAATATTTTAGACAAAATATCTGTAAGAAATATTCAAGAAAGCAAATGATACCACAGAACCATAATGAATCTTCCGAAAAGTGGTGTTATTTACTCTATATAAAGAGGGTGCAGTGGGGAGGCAGCATATTGTAAAAGGGGGACTAGTCTGAGAATCAGAAGTCTAGAGTCTACTCTCGGCTCTGCCATAAACTAAGTGCATGACGAAAGGCAAGTCACTCAATCTGTCTAGACCTTAGTTTCCTTAACTAAAAAAATGGAGTTCCTCTGAAACATTTCTGTGGCCTTATGATTCTAATAATATCATATCATATCATATCATATGAAACTGAGTATAGAATGGGCCCACTTGTCTCTGCCATGAAATGTAGAAATGTTTTGGTTATACTTCTGCCCCAAGAGAGATGCCTCCTGCTTTGTGGCCTTTTGAATCTCTACATAGACCCCCCTCTTCATTTCCCTGATAATAGAGTCACAGGGGATGCCGGGGGAAAAAAGAGGACAGTCTTTCCCTCAACATGCTCAGGGTGGCACTCTGATACCCCCCAAACTTGACATTTTTATAATCATATTATAGCTTGATTTTCTTTTGTTTCCATTTGAACATGTCAGATATCATTTGTTTGACTCTTTTAAATAGCTCCTGTGAGTCAGGCCAAGTTTCTTTTCTACCTATTTAAAATCTGTTGTCTTCTAATTTCACCAGGTTTTTTTTGTTCTAGTTTCATGTGTTCAACTGCAACTGGTCATCAAATAAGCATTCTCTCTTTAATTATCCTTTTTGATCTCCTCTAAAAATTATCCAGGTCTGTTCCTCAGTTTTAACAATATGCCATAAAGGAGTAGAGGGACTAATAGTTAATTCAAGTACAATCCCAATCTTTTAATATTTATGCTTATTTTTATGATTGCTTCAGACTAGATATCTGCTTCAGTGCTTTTCACTATTCTTAGGGTATTATTTTTAAAGAAAGGACAATAGTTTGGTCCTTAGAGATAATGAGAAGTATAATGATACCCCTTTTAAAATTCAGCAAAAAATGAAATTTAGTCAACAGAGAAACAGTTGCTGAGAAATACTGGAAAAAAGCTCATAGAATATAATATAATCATCATTAACTTTTCCTCAGCCACCAGCATTCATTATAAGATAATTTCAAGATAATGTATTATAGTTAAGAACAAAAAATAACTACTTAAGAATTCTTTTATTTGCTTATGACTATTTTTCCAAATATTAAAAGTCTAAATCTTATAGGAAGCATTACACTGTGTTTAGTATTCTCCCAAATCACCTAAGATATAAGAATTAAACCAATCAAATGTTTAAAAAAATCTGCCACCACCTCTATCAAACTAATCATTTACTATGCTAGAGAAAATGACAAAGCAGAGATATTCTAGGACCTTAAAAGAGAATAACATGCCTGTCTAAAGAATGCTGAAATGGTTATTTGCTACTTTTATAAAAAAAACCTAATCTATACTCTCTCAAATCCTAACCTTTAAGACAGTTCCTTCCTGGATCATGACCAGAAATCTATTTTTAAACTGAGGTAACAAGAGTGAGGCCAACTGCTCTTTCAGAGAGGATATTCTGGTACCAAAAACATTTTGAATGACATTTAAAAGATCATCATGCCAAATTCAAATACAGTAGCAGACTACACATTCATAAATTCAATGCCCATACTGCCATCCTTATATTTTACACTAGATTTCTAAAAATACTTGCAGGTACTAACATGAGCTTCAATACAGCAGCTACAATCTAAAAATACTGTCATTATCTTCTTACTAGTGACAGTTGACCACATTTTCCTGAGAGATAAGAGCATAAGAAAATACAAATACTGGACTATCATTCTACGGGCCAATTCATTGTAGTAAGAAGCAAAGCTATACGATATTTCCTTTGCCTTTTATCCCAAGCTTATAAAGCCCAACATAAATATGGAGTGGGTCTGGATTACATTATTTCTCAAGAGTCAATCATTTAGGGTACAGAAAAAATAATCTTACTTCAAATGTGAATATTTTCCACTGCTAACAGCACAATACTGCAACATTCCCTTTTTTAGGAATTATCTTTTGGGAAGCAACAAAAAAATTCACTTAAATATCTAGTCTAATGATCTAATAATCTAATGATTTTAAAAGGCACATGACTGAGTAACTTACATCTAGGAGTTTATTACTTTCTAAGGTAAAGATAAACTTCAAAATAAAAATTCACCTAGCACTCCTGGTCAATCACTAGGCTAAGTGCTCTAAGTTTTGATAGGATATATTTCAATAACTTGTCACTTGGTCCTAAACAAACTACTTAACATTCTGGCATCACAGTTTCCACATCTGTGAAACAAAAAAGTCATTGTCTTGAATCCCAGAAGAGAAATATGTTATTCATCTGCATAATTATATGACAAAACGTGTAATTCTCAAAAGCTACTGTAGAACTATGTGACATGTTTTATTCCTGGAACACTCATTTCACCTACGATCATCTGATGAACTTACCACATCTGAGGCAGTTTATTAGAGCTACAGAAATGAACTGATAACATCAAATTTGACCTACTACACATTTATGTTCTGATGGACTTTTTCCTTTTAATAAGAAACGTACACAGAGGAAGTTCTTACTTGGCCTTATTAACTAGAGGGCTGAGTAACAGATCACAAGGCACTCATATGTGAAATGGGACTGTGAATGGTGTACATAGGGCTGCACCCACGAGAACCTGATGCAGGAAAGAAGAGGTGTCAAGTACATGGCCCACAACAAACTGAAACGGAACTAATGTAACAAATTAAAAAGTAATTGCAGTATTTAACAAAATAAATAAAAATACAACATAACGTAGGTAACACTACATTTCAAAACTAAGTCAATATGCAGCGTTAGGTATGGATTGGTAGTTCCGTTTTCTATTGAAGCTTGATACCATGTAATAAGGAATTTGCTTACACAGAATCATGTAAGTGCTGATTTTTTCCAACATGGCTCAATTTTGAAAAATGTTTTTCAAGAGTCACTCATGTTTTATAGCCTAGATGAGGATATAAAATCTTTTTTTTTTAAAGAGTGACAAAACTGTTCCACATAGTGAAAAAAATCAGAACCGACCTGAACCCCTCTAAGCTGACTCCATGCTCCTTTGGGTGGGTCTGTGACAGTGGCTAGCCAGTACCAAGAGACTCCACAGAGTGCTGTTACTCTGAGCAGGTGCCAGAAATCTGTGACTTTACAGGAATGAAACAGAAGAAAAGAACTGGGTCTACAATTAACCAAATGCTAAATGTCTTGTGCCTGTTGTTATTTGTAGCACTCATCACACAAACCTGCTCATTAAACTAGCTCCTTGGATACACTGAATGCTACCAAGTTTACACATCCTTGATGCTGGACACAGTGAGATAATCAATGACATGTCACAGAATTATAATATAGTATTCTATGTTTATATGCTTCTCTAATAACCTATTACCTAATTCATCCTTATAGCATTCATTTGAAACAGGAAAAGATAAGCTTTAAGGCCTAATATTCTAATTTCATAAATGGGAAAACTCAAGCATGGAACAGGGAAACCACTTGCCCTACTATAAGGCCAGGATTTATTATTATAATATATTATAAGGCCAGGAATAGAAGTCAGTCAGTTAGTTAACATTCCCAGAAAGTGAAGAGATGAAGACCAATCTGTTTCTCTCACAATCAGAAAATCCTGAAAGACCACTGATGGTTCTCATGTGCTACCCTAAAAGCCCAGGGGGAAAAAAAGTCTTTAAATAAAAATATCTTAGATAATATATTCTGACTCTACCATACTAGATTCTTGGCAATCACCTCTGATGTTTACAAGGTTAACCTTTGTGGATGATGAGAATTTTCTTAAGGGCTCTGAAAGCTATCCTAAAGACAATTTACGTTATTTAGAAAAGTACCTGAAACTGTAACACTGGTGTAAGTCGGTGCCTTGGAATGATTAGTTAAGTCTGCAACTTCTACAAATACCACAGTTAACTAAAGAGATGCTGCCTCTAGAGAGCCACTGCGATTTATGGCACTTCTTCTGGACTTTCAGTAACAAACAAGATAGACCGCCTTCATTCCTCACGTAGCTCCACTGAATATTTCAACTGTAATTATCATAGAGGTATAATGCACTGGTCTAGAACACTCAGAGGTTAGGTGACTTGCTCAATGTAAGACAGCCAGCATGTGTCAGGCGGGACTTGGACCCCAGTCTACTGGCTTGCAGGCCAGCTCTGTCTACTAGGTCCACACTAAGTAAGAATAGAAAAGATGAATTATGACAGACTTAGTAATGGCACTAAGGACATCTTAGCACAGTCCCAGAAAACAACTTGATTTGATTCCAAAGAATTTACTGCATGCTTACATAATTTAATTCTTGCTATATTTTATATTCCTTGAGGGTCTAAACCCTGTGTCATTGACTTTGTATCGCCTTCAATACCTAGTACAAGCAGTGCTTTGATGCCTACAGGTACTTTAACGAGTGTTCATTGAATTGAACTAGCAAACTGACAGTCATTTATGTAATCCTTATTTTCTTCTGTGGAGGCCGCCATAAAAGGACGAAGAAGTTAACAATCAATAAAGATAAATGAACATGAGAAGGCTAGGAGCTACAAGGAAAAACAAGTTGTTTCATAACGGACAAATAATTAATACATTCTGTGATTCTACAAAATTCTGATGAAATTCAAACTGGTAAACCCGGCATGAAAATTTCTACACCCCAAATGCTCTTCAAATGTCTGTTATACTACAAATGCAGCCACATACATAAACATACACTTTTACCTACTGAGGCAATGTTTTACACTCAATTTTGCTTTAACAACTGTTTTGTCCTTTTAAATTTCAGCATTTTCTTTGTCATACTTCATTATAAGAATAGCTGTCATTTATATAATTTAACATTTGTAAAGTGCTTTACAAATGTTATTTCATTTGATTCTCACAACAGGTACTGTTATTATCCTCGTTTTGCAGATGAGGAAACTGAGGCTGAGGAAAGTGTAATAGCTTGCCTAGAGTTGGTCACACAACTAGTAAATGTCTGAGGCAGGATCTGAACTCAAGTCTTATTGTGTCCGAGTCCAGCACTCTATCCATTGCATCACCAATTGCTCATGAATAAATAGTTCATCTTCACATCACTTTGCCCAAAACTGTTTACAAAGCTAAAAATCTTGGGGAAATATTTGCTATTCAAAGTTGTCAAATTTTAACATTTGCATTAACAGTTAACATATTACCAATCTACAGAGAAATTGTTTTCTTTCTTATAAGAAATTTTAAGGGAAAAATTTTTTTTCCTAAATAATTAATTCTAGTAACATATTTAGAGAACTCTAACTCAAGTACTCTTTGCTAATAAAATTAAGCCAAAAATATAATATGGATTAAATATCAGCATAGTATCCTGACCCCACAACACAATTTCTATATCATGATTGCTTTGAAAGTTCAGATGATTTCACAGCCTCATTTATGAATTGAGTGACTCTGGGTTCTAGGAAGGGATTTCAGCAAAGCATAGTTCTTTCCTTTTCTTTTCTTTTCTTTTTTTTTAGGCAATTGGGGTTAAGTGACTTGCCCAGGGTCACACAGCTAGTAAGTGTCAAGTGTTTGGTCTGAGGCCAGATTTGAACTCGGGTCCTCCTGACTTCAAGGCTGGTGCTCTATCCACTGCACCACCTAGCTGCCCCCAAAGCATAGTTCTGACAGGCCCTCCCAAACTGGAAAAGATTCAAGCAGAGACCCAGTAATGGGCCATGTTTTGTCACTAGACCACCATGGTAAATGTGGAGCAAGTTAGCTACAAGGTACCAAATTTCCCTTTTGGATACAGCAACTCAAAAGTCTGTCTACTGAGATACATGGAGGGATCTCCATGAGCAGAGGGAGTAACAACACTGATGATACTACAGATCTTAGAAATACTGAAATATTTCTGTGGTCGTAGGAGTCCATAAAACACATTTAGGAAGAGGAGGTATAAATGAAGAGTAACACAATCCAAATGGTTTTGGGACTTCCCAAATGCAAAGTAATTTTGTCACAGTTCTCAGAGCAATTAATTCTATTTTCATCATTGCTTATCTATTAACCAAAGCCTCACAAGTCCATTTGTGTTAGAAACTGGACATATTCTCATTTGTAAAAGAAATGTAAAATTACAATAACTATTGTCTTATTAGATGATATCAATCTGCCCACTTATTTTGTGGTTTCATCATGGAGGGTGATTCCAAAGCGTTCCTGTGCCCGGCTTAAAGTCTTCTCTGTGATATTAAAATCCCCAAAGAAAAAAAAAATCACAAATTTATTAAATACCAAGATTTTATAGGTAATACAATGAAAACATGGCTAAAGGCTAAATACGTATTTGTTCTCTATATCAGAAACTTGTTACCTCCACAAAAAATCTTGAATTGAAACCTTATTATGCAGAAAACAAATAATTAACAAATTCTGTGAAAACTGTTTTATAATAAAATATTATAAATATTGACTAAAACTACAAATCCAATATACTATGTGACAGCCAATCATAATTCTATAAGCAATTCTATAAGCACTTCAATCCAGCACTATGTAGTTCATATAAGAATATGCATTAACTTTCAAAGCAAGAGAGAGCTGGAAGCTGAGGTATAGCAGCCTTTTTGTTAGAGGCATTTTCTGCACACTGAGTTCATTCTGATGCATAGGTACTTTCTAGAAGTACAGGCCTTACATTTATTGAACAGTCATGACTTTCTCTTATCCTCTAAGTGGGTTGCTTCTGAAGTTTTCTTCTTCCTCTTTACATTCTCTCCCTTGGAGATCCCATGCCATGGCTTTACTTAGGACTACCAAATCCATGCTTCCAGCCTGTATTTCTTCCTTAAACTCAAATACTATATTTCCAGCTGCTGACTAGGTTTGTCCACCTGGATGTTCCACTAGCATATGAAAATGCCATATATGCAAAACTAAACCTGTTATCTTCCTCTTGAAACAACCTATCTTCTCTCCTGATTTTCCTTTTCTTCTTGTTTCCACAATCACAAAGTTTATTCAAAACCTCGGGGATACTTTCAGTGTCCCTCATCCCCCATATCTAATCAGCTGCTAAGTCTTATGGGTTCTATTTCCTTAATATCGTGTATATTTGTTTCCTTTTCATGCCCCACCCTCTCCCCACCCAGAATAGGCTTTCATTATCTCTTTCCTGGACCATCATACTACCCTTTTTACTAATGTCCCTGACTTTAGTTTTGCCCTTCACTAATCTATCTTCTACACAGCTGCCAAGATATTCTTCCTAATAATCAGAGATGACCATATTACACCTCTGCTCAAAATGCCTTCAGTAGCTCCCCATTCCCCAAAGGTATTAGCCTGGTATCCAACGCTCTCCACGGTGTGGTTCCAGTCTGTTTCCCAGTCACCTCACTCTAGTCTCCTTTATTTACCCGATCTTTCAACCAAACTAGACCCTATTTCTAATCCTCCCACCTTTGTGTTCCACAAAGGTTATATGTACATCATGCTCACAATGAGCTCCCTCAACATCTCTACCTATTGAAATACATCTCTTCCTTGAAAGTCCATCTCAGAGGTCATCTCCAACATGAAATCTCTGCTGATTCTACCAGATAAGCAGGATCTCACCCTCTTCAAATATTTTCTTTTGTTATCCTCTTGTATCATATTTATTTATATACTTGTTTTATTCCTCCACTGTATTGTAAGAGATTCCATCCTTGACGAGGGGGACTGTGTTTTTTTTTTCACCTTTGCAACCCCAGTACCTAATATAGTGCATTGCACATACCATGCACCAGAAGAATGCCAGCTAAATTTGGATAAAGTGAACAACCCCCTCCATACTAAAAATACAAGAATAAATTTTTTTCTCTATACATCTAGGGTATACTATTGTAATGCACCGGCTATTTCACCATGTGATGATTAATACCACCACATGCAAGGAAGGGATAAGCAGCAATAGTGCATTAGCTCTATCTTGTGTCAGGGGAATGTACAGGGAAGCATCTCAGCAAACAACAGCAACATCAACAACCAGTTCTACTAGCTAAGCTGCTGCAGAACACTTGGTATTGACCACCTGAAGGATGAGGGCCCTGGGAGGAGCCCTCAGGGGAGGCCTGCTCGGAAGTGGAAGGCTGTCGTGCTGCGGCCTCAGCTAGCTCTTGTTGCCTCTGCTGCTCAGCTCTCTTAAGCCGCAGTTGTTGCAGGCCCTTACGAAGCAGAGCTATCTCAGGCCCCCTTAAAAATTCTGACACAGACAGGAAAAAAAGGGTGTAAAAGAACACGGAAACAAAATAGATATCACAGCATCTAAAAACATCAAAGAGAAGAAAGATAAAGAAACACATGTCTATTAGGAGAAAAGGCAAGCTGCTTATTTACATAAGAAAATATGGATTCCCTATGATGGAATTACGATAGCCCCCCTTTCACAGGCTTCATACCCTTTACATATACGTATACTGGAATTTTAATATTTTACTCTTCATCGTTTTTGGAATATTAATGTAATTAAATGAAATGAAAATAAAACACAAAGAACAATTTACTTTTTAAAATCCCTCTGGTTAATCTTTCTGTACTGAAATACCAGATTGAAATGTGAAACGTTTATTCACGTCAGTATTATTTTACCTCAGACTCTAATAACTTTACTGTCTGTTCCAATAACAATACTATCTGTTCACATCTAACTGCCAAAACAGTTCAGCCCATCCTGTAGAGATCTCAAAGGGAAGAAAGAATGATTTCTCAATAATAATTATTCTGATCTCCTATTTTGCAACTCCAGTTACTCCATAGGATCTCATTGTAACTTCCAGATAAAGACCTTTCTTTCAAGTTCTAGGTAGGTCTGGACACTTGCTGACACCTAATATTTCATGCTTAGTAACATTTTTTTTTCCTTTTGGGTATGTGTAACCTTTTTATATGCAACACAGTAAATTAAAAAGTGTCTAATAATATTTTAAATAAAGTATCATTTTGCAATCACAAATAAACATCCTGCACAGAAAAGAAAGAAATCTACTTAAGCAAAAATAGCATGTAATTGTTAAAACAACAGAGCAAATTTGTAACGACTCAAAGAGATAATTGGTAAACAAATTTGAAAACTACCCTGCTGGTCTGGGACTCCAACCCCTATTGCCAAAGGCAGAAACACCTATGAGCCCTATACCCCCTAATTTATCTGAGTGGAGGGCTCCCAAACGAACACTGGTGATCTGTAGTTTGGAAAATCTAGAGCTGATTAAAATAATCTTATAAACCACATATTTATTGTTTTTATTAGTTTTCAAAGACTTCATTAAGCAGGCATTATTATCCACAGGATTTTTTACATTTTTTTTCCTCTCCAGGTGGAAAAAATGTGTCCTCAATTACAAGCAGAGCTCACTAAAGAATATCAGAATCTTAACCTGTTAACTTCAATTTGAAATTCCAGCTTATACTCTGTAAGATGGTGAAATAAAAGTTAACCAAAAAAAATGTACACACGTTTACAAATGTGTTTATGCATATATAAAACACATCTTTATGAAAAACACATGTTATATATAGCCCACACTGCTGATTGGCAGTGTGAAGTTCAGAGGGTCATTTAAGATCACTTAAAACTTAAAATAGTGTCAACACTAGCAGAACCTAAAGTCTGAAGTCATGCCAATGTAAACGAGTACCTCTGTGCTGAGTAACAAGGAAATGCGGCAGGAAAGTCACTCCTTGAATTCCTAAATGCCTTGCCTTGTAAATCACTACAGGGATCTCATTCAGGGATTGGCAGGAGGAATAAAGGCAGCAGAGCACAGTACCTTCTGCTACAACCCAAGTTCAGGCCCCTTTTCACTTTGTATAGACTAACTGAATGTTCTCCTAGCTGACCTCCCTTGTCTCCAATTCTACCTAAAAACCTCCTGATATCTTCCCCATGTGCAACTCTGATTGTACTGCACCTCCTCCTCCCTCAAAAATGTCTAGTGGTTCCCTATTGCCTATCAAATAAAGCCCAGATTCCTTAGCTTAATATTAAATCCTTCTTCCTCTTCCTGCCTTATTCCCAATTCAATTACATTCAAGAAACATTTATTAAATGTCTAGTGTAGTGAGGGCAATGTCCTAAGAGTTAGGTGAAATGAAGTTTGTATTAAACATGGTCCCTAACCTAATGAAGAGTTTATATTCTAATAAAGGGATATGACACATAAACAAATAAACACATCATAACAACAACAACAATAATGACAACGATAAATACGTAGGAAAAAAGTTACACAAAGAGCTATGTGATGTATAAGGAGGAAAAGTCATTACCAATTTGGGATGATGGAAAGGCAAGGCTTCAGGCAGCTGTCATTTGGTTCTAATTTTAAAGTATGAACATACATTCACCAAAAAAATAGGGGTCGTATTCCAGGAACAAGGGACAGCATGAGTAAAGTGATCCACCCATCTCTGTGTGTGTTGCAAAAGCACAAAGACAGGCTAAGGAGAGAGGCATCATTTAAAATTGACTGGTATGCACGTGGAGGGCACAGAGAGTAATACTATGAGATAAGGGTGGAAGAATAAGGCGATGCCTGGTTATGGAGGACCAAAGAATTTGAAAAAGGCAGAACTGACAGGACCCTATAATTGCTTGAATATAAGAGGAGAAAGAAAAATGCAATCTAATTAATGTCCCCCAAACACTCTTCATTTTCCCACCAAAGTGCTTTGCTCTTTTTGAAGGGCCCTCTGTTTGCATCTCTAGCATTTGATGTCTTCCCACCCTTAAAGGCCCAGTTCAAATGCTACCCATTCAAAGAGCTTTCTCAAGTGGCCACTTCTACCCTCTACCAATCCTTGTGATTGCTTTCACTCTTCTTCAGTGACCACAGAACTTAATATGGCCTGCTCTCTTCCTCTTTAAATTACTGCCTGATGTTCTCATTGTTGATGTGAATATTTACAGTGATGACCTTTCTGCTACACGGGCCTCTTAGGACCTCCACAGAACTTCCATTGCAACATCTTCTATGTCTTCATTCTACCCAAGTCAGTCACAGCAGGGTAAGACACAAACTCTGGCTACTGGTCTACCTTTCAAATTCCAACCTTAAATCCTCTTCTCCCATCACAGTCTCCGATCTTCCTGCCTCCCCTTTCCTGAGCCTGCCCTTATTCCACTCCCACTATGAACTCCATCACCCTCTTCCCATTTATACAGTCGATGACTTTAGGCCTTATTTCTCTCAGCCAAGCTTTTTGCCAGCCAATTTAATGATGCACTTTCATCTACCCTGTTAAGTCTGGAGGCCCCATGTCTCGACCCTCTCCCTTTACTCTTTCCATAAGTTTGGGCAGAGTGGCAGTCTCCAACTGCTCTCTCTACTTTCTCACCAAATATTCTCCAGTTGTCTAACTCGAAAATGGCCACCGCTCTACTCAAACTAATCTCCAAGATCCCCAGTGATGTCTCCGCTGCTCAATCCAATGTGCTTTTCAGCCAGAATCTTTATGCATCATTTGATTCAGGGGACCGTCTGATTCACTCTCTGTCACTGGCTTTCAAGAGAAGGGCACTTATGGTGGAATAGAAAAACGGAGCCAGAAAACCTGGGTCTGAATTCCAGTTCTGGTGGTGTCAAAGTACTGCATAAATGTGAGTGGTTCTGAATACAATTTGAAGAGACCATGCTTTCCTGGATTTCTTATCTTTCTGACTAATTCCTTGGCTCTGGGTGTCCTCCACTGATTCTTCTCCCCTCTTCTGGTCTCTAATGCTAGGCACTGCCCCAAGCCCTCTCCTTGGTCCTCTTCTTGCTCTACATACACTCATTCCATGCCATCTACTTTCATGGGTTCCTTTTATCACCACTATACTAAGCACACCCAAAACCATGTATCTGACTGCATTTCAGTTTCATGTTTCTGACCATATTTAAAAGATATCTACACCAGAATTTTCTGTCATTTATGAAACTCAAAACTGAACTCATCAGCTTCCCCCCTCCTATTTCAACCTACAACTTCAAGACCCTCCATAATCTATCTCCAACCTCCCTTTCCAGCCCTTTTTTATGCTAGTCTATTTCATCCACCTAATTGGGCTACTTGCCAGTAGCCTAATAAAGAAAATTCATATTTCCTCCCTTTGCTACCTCACAGGGTTGTACTAAGGATTCAGTGAACAAATGTGCATAAAAGTGCTTGGTACACTATAAAATATTATGCAAATGTGCAAGTGCAATGAATTCTAGGAGTCTCAGTCACTTACCCTCCCTTCTTCCCCTGATTTTTCCCTGTCCTCTCCTACCTCCAGGTATTTGCACAAACTGACCTCAATACCTGGAGCAGAATAGTTCAGGATCTCCTCCTGCTAAACTTGTTCACTATCTTCAAGACCCTGCAGAAGCTCCCTCCTTCACAAAGCATTCACTAATTCTACCATCTCAAAGTAATACTTACTTCTTGGATCTCTCAGCTTGTATGTACTTAGCTCATTCAAATATGAATGACCGCTATTTATATTTATACCTTTTGATGTAAGCAGCTTGACGGCAAGGAAAATTTCTTTTTCTAATTCCCTATCTCTAGGGCCATATATACAATAAGCATTTAATAAATGTTTGACTACATTGATAATTATGAAAGACAAATTTCTTACTTGGTTGGAGAGGTTGTTACTGTTAGTGGTTCTGAAGGTCCAAACTGACTCTCTGAACTTAAGACGAGAATACCTATAAATAGGCGAGTTGCCATGTATGGTTATCAAGAGATATCTATAGCTATACTTTTATGAATATTATGTAGGAGATTAAATGATCAGGTTTTGAATGGTTCATATAATACATGATGTATAATCATTAAATATTTTAAGAATATTTAAATGTTATTTATAAAGCTAACATATTTGCTTACTGATTCAATCATTCCAAATTTTCTGCACTGCCCTTTCCAATCACAGAAAGTTATGAAGATTAAAGATTAAAGGAACAGTTTCTCTAGACAAGAGATGAAAATAAGCCAAATAAACTATAATATGGTAACCTGACTCTTTCATCTAAATATTCTGGACTACAGGGAAAAAACAACTACATTCACTTTTTTTTGTTTCTTTTTCATTATTTCTCTCTTTTCAACAAAAGAAACTTTCTAACACAAAGATAAAATTATACAAATCTTTTCTTGGATTATTTTGAGAGGTGACTATTAGACTATTTCTTGCTATTAAATTCTATTCTGCTTACTGGTAGAAAAAGAAATTAACGGTATAATCATATAATTGGTTTTGAATAAAATACACTACATAAAATAGTATAAATAAATTTATTGAATAAAATATACTATAATGAATTTATGTTGTTATTGGTCCAGAACTATGATTTCATTAATTTGGGGAACTTCTAGTATGGAAATTCTTTCCAATGATTCAGGTCAGCAATTTGCCTGTGGCATATTTTTATGGAGTTGCTCAAGAGTACTATCAGGTTAGATGGTAGTTATCCACGGTCACATACCTAGGACTTGAGGTTTTCAAGTTATCCATGGTCACAAACCTAGCACTTGAGGCAGTATTTGAATCCAGGTCTTCCTGACTTCAAATCTGGCCCTCTGACCACTACACCAAATAGGTCTCTCTAATGAATTTAAATGTCATAAACACTTTTTACAGAGATTTAATTTTAATCTGTATTATTTCAACTCAATATTTTCCTACTCCTTTTACATACAGAATATGGCTTTTACAACCTGAGAAGACAGTCTGCTTTAAAGGTTTAAGAAAAAAAAATCACATATAATAACTACCATGACTCAAGACTTCGGGAAGCATGGCTTTAAGCAAGAATGGTTTGAATACTTAGATAATAAGACTTCTGAGGAAGAAGGAGGCTGATAAAATAAATGACATAGACTGAACATGTGGCATTTAATCAACTTTCCATTATACCACTCATAACGTGGTCTGAATAATTCAAATGGGCATTCAGAAGCAAATTTCTCTCTTACCTAGTGCCTAGAAAAGGGTCTGGAACATAAGAAATAAATACTTGACTGATTAGCCAAATGCCCTGAATCCTAGGGTAGGCAAAGGGGGGAAAGGACAGATGAAGTCTTGAAGGAACCCAGGAGCTTTGAAGTAGGACCTAAGCTACACTAAGAGATAGGCTTTAGGAATTCTACTTAACCTAAAGAACAACCCTTTTTTTGTCTTTTAGGCCCATGTCTGTCTTGATTCTAATTTGGGTTGGTAAGGGTAGGAGGTGGCTGGGCACCCAGCTAGATTCAGAATGTGTATTTATTTGCCATTTTGATTTCTCCTATCCACAAATCCATCTGAATTTAGATGGGATGGGAAATGGACATGGAGAAAGGAAAGTACAAATGTAAGGGGTCTTCCTGTTGGAACCTAGGCCTTTGTGAACATGCAAGATCTTAAGCTTCACCAAGTGAATGAGAGGCAGCTTATATTGCATTCCTTATTGTAGGGAAATTTAATAAACTATAGTGTCTTGGTGTCCTGGTAAAATTATTCTATGGTTGCTTTAGCTAACCTAAAATGTTTCAGTTTTTTTTAACTTCCTATTTAATTCTATGTTCAAGGATTGCCTAGTTTCAAAATAATGATGATTATTTCATCACAAACATAGCTTATATGCTACCTGTCCCTTGGATACATATTCAAATAGCAAATACTTCAAGGTGAAAAGTGATTTATCAGTATAACTGATAACGATCTGTTTTAAATATATAACTAAAATTAAAATTCAAAGGGATTTTTTTTAAGTTTTCAGAAGCATTAATAGAAAAACTCCTCTAAAGTCCTACTCTCAAGTCTTATAGCCTTATAAAAATGACCTTAGGTTCTTAAAGGCTGTTCAACTTATGGCAGCTTCCATATCAAACTAGAAAAGCTTGAATAAAAGGCCCAGTAAGAGACTAAAACACTATGTGTCTTGTCATCTGAGAGCCTGACTAGCTAAATTCAAAAAGTCTAATCACCCAATCAACAGGCAATGAATTGGGGTGGGGGGAAGCAGCATGGCACAGCAATTAATGAAGATCATCCCCTAAAGAATAAAGAGAATTGCAATCTGTGTTGGTGGAAGGAGTGCCTGAAGCAACGAAATCACGAATCCTTGAACAATTAAATTAAATAATTAAGTTGGGACACTATTCAGTAAACATCTAAATCCCTAGACTGTATAATCTCCTTGACAGATTACCCTGAAAATAGATTATTGAGCGCAAGCTATTTAATACTGCTTCAGAATGTCACTTACCTTAAAAATGACATTTGCTTAATTTTAAAATATTTTGTGTAACTGACAAGTTTTCAACAAGTGTGAAAATCTGTTCTGAAAAATAAACTTTATAGATTTTTTTCTTCTTAGAAAACGTTTTATTTTATGCCCTTAAATTAAAAAGGTAAGTAGACTGTATTCTCCTGAAAATCTGATTTTGGAGAATGACTTTGTGGTCTAGAGACAGATAAAACTACAAGAGATCTAACAGTTTCTGCAAAAGGTTCTGGCTTCTATTTCCATGGAAACTGACATTAAATCACCAAAATGGGGATACTGATGAAACAGAGCTTATTTTAAAATACCCCATTTTTTGTGATCTGATGTCAGTTTCTATGGAAGCAAGAATAAAAGTGGCATCATACAGCTGAGCTATTAAGAATTTTATAAGTTTTAACTTGTGCCCGAAATTCTGAATAAACATTTTATTTGCTTTTAAAATGAATAGTTTAAAACATAAGCAACATGGGGCATGACTGTACTATATATAGAAATGTTCTCAGAAAATGCTTTAATACATAACTTATCTACTTGATGGTTTTATTTTGTTTTTTGGTGGGGATATTGGGGAGGAGTAAGGTAAAAAAGCTGTGATGCTAAAGATGGCCATGAAAAACTATGGTAAAAAGGAAATAATCTGGTACACTTTAATAGGGTCTCATAGTACACTTGTTTTCTGGTATCAGGTACTAATAAAACAAGCATTTATTCCAACACAATTAAAGTGAAGAAAGGGTAAAATGTCCTTTAAGTAAATTAGAAGATCCTACGAGATAATATTTGGATTTACAATAATCTTTGAGTAAAACGCTTTTAAAATTATATCAGTATTCTCACTACCTCATGATACCTGTTGTACTTGGCAGTATTACCTTCATAAAAATGAGAAGTTTCTGCCTTCTGTTACAGGTAATGGAAATTAGGTACACTGTGCTATGGTAGCTTTCAGTGAGACCTAATTTAAGTACTACCCATACTCAAGAGAGAAAAGTAGTTGGCAGTTCTCAAATGGGGAGATTAGTTATCTGTAATTAAACTTTTTTTTAGAATTTTACTATTAAAAAATATCTCTCTTCTCCAGATTAAAAATATAAGGGAAACAGATGCATATATACACATTTAACTTAAAGACTTAATTTCTGTGAAGTAACATGTACACATACACACATGTCATTCTGGTCAATTATTCTAGCAAGTACTGATAAAATTTTTTAGCATCTTCTAAACACATCCTAAAATGGAGAAATTCTTATTGTCAGAAAACATGATAAATTACTGCCGACTTAGGGTATATTGTTCTCACCAGATTGATGATGTGTATGGTGCCCGGAAGCTTCTAAGGCTAATCTCTGTTCAGTGTCTGGAGAGGAAAGCAAAGATGTCGAACGAGGGCTTTCTGTGGAAGATGATGTTGAAGGCGCCTGAGCTGACACAGTAGAAGATGAAGATGACTGAAGAAACTGTTCTGCAGGAGCGTCCACTTCCATTGCAGTCTCACCCATTTCTAATTCAGCACTTGATTGGCCAGTAGGAACAGTAGAAACATCTGACTGATTTGTCCCTCCTTCAATAAATACATATTCAATGCAGATTGAAATTTAAAATTATCTTTCTGAGGCCAGAAACTTTAATATAACATCAGGAAATAAAAGGTGGGGGAATAAAAGGAGTACTATGGTTTCAAAGATGATAAAACTTTTAGTTGATCAGATCAGTTTACGAAAATTGACCAGTTTGGTGGAAACAAAATCAGTTTAATTAGTCCTACACGGAGTCCAAATGATTGCTTCCCATCATGTGAAAGCTAATATGTAATGTGCTGGCCCAACTCTATGAACATAAATTTTAACAGTTTTAATAGTAGAGAGACAGATTTACAGTGACATAGCCCTACACTATTACCCAATGCCCCTTATAAGCAATGGCATCTAACTGCTAATCATCAAACTGTGCTTAGAGGTACAATCATCGAAGGGCACAGAGTCCTGGTCCTGCTCTGACCCCAGTTAGCTATTCAACTTGGGCAACTCAGCTGACTTCATGAGCATCAGGCTTGTCATTTGCACAATGAGGGTGTTGGATCAAATAAACTCTAAGGTACCTTACAGCTCTATATGTGTGATCCCACGACTAAATGATATCCATGTTCCCTGTCGGTTCTGATGTCATAATTAGTTCATATTTTGTAGCCAAAAAACCCCAACTAGCATCAAACACATGATCCCAAATTTTCTACGACAGAACAATTAAGCAATCCAGCCATGAACAACTCAAAAACATTAATAGGTTAAGAATATGTACAGCCATATGAACAACACAAACTTGAAAAGGATGCTATCTCATTTGTTTCCTAAATCTCAGTTTGGTGGGAAAAATTTAGAAGGAAGATTGGTCCACAGATGATACAGAATTACAGGATCCAGAGCTGGAACCTTTGAAATTATCTTTTAATCCAAGTCCCTCATTTTACAGATGAAGAGAGGTAAGGTGGCTTATTCAAAGTCACACAAGCAGTAAGTGGTAGAACCAGGCTCCTCTAAGTCCCAACCAGTGCTCTTTCCAACTTTTTCTATAACAAAAATGCACAGTACCAGTAACATTTCCACAATTAATTTTATATTAATACTCATTCCGGACACTGTCTCAAAGACTGTGATTTAAATATTCCTCTGTTTAAGATTAATCATAGGTATATACACCTCCTCAATTAATTTACCACTTATAGAATTAAAAAAAAGTAGCCACAAAAAAATAAATTAGTTTATTTAAAAGACAAACAGTGTAAAATTGAGCTAGATTTTTTGTTTGTTTGAGGATTTGAATAATTTGAACTATATTTAATAACTAAAGAATAGAAACTATTAAACCATGGAAGATACAACTATGGGGAAAGCCTGTTTGCAGCCTCCTATTTCTTTTTTTTTTCTTTTTAGGCAATTGGGGTTAAGTGACTTGCCCAGGGTCACACAGCTAGTACGTGTCAAATGTTTGGTCTGAGGACGGATTTGAACTCAGGTCCTCCTGACTTCAGGGCCGGTGCTCTAGCCACTGCGCCACCTAGCTGCCCCCCAGTCTCCTATTTCTTACAAAAGGGTTTAAACTGGGTGATCTCAGATTTTTTTTTTTGTTCTTTGAAAGGAGGAAAAGGACTAGAGAAATCAATAAGCAGCAGGTGGCATCGTTTTCCCTCCTCAATTAGAATTTTGGCTCTTGCTGCTCCTGATCAAAACTTTGGAATCACAGGCAAGATGGTACTAACAAAAATGTTGTTGTGTATCTCTCTCTCTACTAATAAAAACAGTTTTATTATCTTTCACCTTGATAGTTTCTCTTTGGTAATTTTTTTGAAATATATAATAAATAAAAAAATTCACCTCTAGAGCGAGATCGTCCCCGTCCTCTGTTGCTCTGAGCAACTTCGCTAGCTTCTTCAAACCATCGTGATAACATATCAGACATCCTCTGCATCAATGATACATTAGGGCTTTGCTCTCCTATAATAACAAAGCGTTTCTAAATCATTCAAAATCTATTCTTTCAACACAATTACCTGGAAATTCCTGAGGGAACTTTTTCAAATGAAAAAAGAACCATGAATACACTGTATGGAGAAAAATACACTTTCACTTACAGAATCAGTGAAACAAGATTTATTTTTGTTACAGTTTTACCATAACTAAAGTAACTAATAAAAACAAGTATTCAGTAATAGGTAACTAAACTTTACTTGTATTTAAGGTATATCAGTTCCAAAGAAATATCAACTGATGCTTAAGGAAGTGGTACTACTACTTCCTTTTCTTTGCAACCGAATTTGGGGGCTTAGAAATAAAAATATCTAGTGTCCTAATACATTGGCAGAAATAACTTTCTTTCTAGTCTTCATTACAGTTTATTACAGAATTCCCTATCACTTGCATATTGTGATGCTACTGAAAAAATACTAAAAGATAAAATTTTAGGAGATAACATATTATCTGTATTTATCATATTATCATGTTTATCATTTATTGTTTATAAAGCAAGTTACTACAAATCTATGAGGCACATAGTGCAAATATTATCCCCATCTTACAGATGTAGAAACTTTCAGAGATATAAAGTCTTGCCCAAATCACATGGCAAATAATGGCACAATGAGGACTTGAATCCAGGTCCTCTAATTCCAAGCCCAGAGTTCATCTTATATACAATGCTGCCATTCAAGTTTATAAGTATGATAAAAATAGTGCAGAGATTTTAAATATGAAGTCATTTAGTGGAACACACTTTAGCGCTTTAAAGTCTATCACTAAATAGCATCTATGTCACTATTCTGGCTTTGCAGGTGCCACATAACAGATGAAAAACGTTTTAGTTAAAAAGAAAAGGTAAAAACAGTCTATATTTCTTATTATTAGTATATCACATGTTAGGTGTTTCTTTCTGCTGTGCTTTTTCTGCTTCTTCTCCCTAAGAATCCATACTATTAATATGATAAAGCACCAAGGTCCTTTTCATGCTTTAAAAGGCGGAGGAAATTACAAGAGAAACTGCTACTTTAGATACAGTTCTTACCAACAAAAAGGAAGAGGCTACTGATGTAGAAACAAGAGAAATATGTGGTGCAAGGAACATCATACCATATCTGGAGACTGTGAGAGAAAAGGAGAAGAAAACTCGTCTTGGGCTAACATGCACCCTTGATTTTATGAGAATTGATTTCAAAAGCTTCAGAGTAAGGATGAGTAAGATCTAATGATCCAATCTTTTTCAGGGAAGTCAGCCCAAGTAGGATGGAAAGCTATTAACAAAATTCCGAAGACTGAAGCCAAAATAACTAATGAGTAAGAAAAAAGGGAGCATACTAAAGAGACTGAAGAGGAGGCACAGGGAACTCAGGGACAGCTTCAAACTCAAAGACATTTACAGAAGAGGCAAACAAGATCAAATGACTAGGGGAGAAGGAAATAGAGAAATAAAAGCCATATTAAGACTGCTAAAGTACAGAAGAAGCAGAAGCTGACAAAAAATGTTAAAAAACGCTAACAGAAGATGGTTTATTTTTTCAGCTACTCGGGAAGCAAAGGACAAAGACCGTTGCTCAAGGGCAGCAGCTAATCAACTCTTCTTTTGCTTCTGTTTTCTCTTCCCAAGGAGAGTGCTTTTTGGATTGGGAAGGGAAGAAGATAAACAGCAGGGAGTGGAAAAGCAAGATACATGAGGATTAAGTCAAGTTAGCAGGTAAAAGCAAGATACATGAGGATTCAGCCAAGTGGTATCTGGCAGCGTCAAATCACCAGATCTGGATAAACAACAGAATACTGAAAAAACAGCAGTTACAATTGCTGATCTGCTGTCATTAATCCCTCAAAGAACCTAAAGAATGGAAGATATGATGCAGGCTGGCAGAAGGGCAAATGTCTGAATTTTCAATTAACAGAAGCTGGAATCTACCAACTAGCAACTAGTAAAATTGATACTGGTAGAATTCTAGGACGCTGTATTAAGGGAATAGTTTCTAAGCATTCAGAAATGGAAACAGTGACTACTAGAAGCCCACATAATTTCATCAAGAACAGGTTACTTCAGATTAACTTCATTTTTTTTTTGGACAGGCTTCTGATTAGGGGACTACTAGAGACACATTATATTAGAGTAAAGATTTAACAAAGTCTCTCATGCTAAGTCTGTGGGTAAGATGGAAAAATAAGAGCTAGATGACAATATAGTTAGGGAGATTCAAAACTGGTCGAATAATGGAACACAAAGCACAGTTATCAATGCCTTTTTGTCCACTTGGAAGGAGGTTCCTAGGAGTGCCCTAAAGATCGGTCCATGGCTCTGTGATGTTTAACAGCAATAACCTGGTAAAAGGAAAAAATGGAAGGTCTATTCTTATTAATCTGCCTCTGACACAATGTTTCAAGGGCCAGCAAACATGTCACATGACAGATCTCTAAAGGCTAGAATGATGGGTCAAATCAAGTAATATGAAATTTAATAGAGATAAATGTTAATTTTTACACACAAATTCCCAAAAAACCAACTTCAGAAATACAAGATGGAGTAGGTGTGACTAGATAACAGTTTTTGTGAAAAAGGTCCAGGTATTTTAATAAACTAAAAGTTCAATGAATCAACAGTGTTATGTGGTAGTTAAAAGCTAATGCTATCACCTCAGTGGCTTAAAAGAAACATTGTGTCCAGAACAAAGAAGCTAACAGTTCTATACTCTGCCTTGATCTGGCCACACCTGGAAGGTAGGTGAGAATGCAGAGAATGGTGGAGAACATACTGTACAAAGACTAGTTCAAAGTATTAGGTATATTTACCTTCTGGGTCTAAGAGTCTTGGCTATTGTTGTTTAAAACTCAAATGACATAATATATTTGTAAAAATCACTGAAGGACACATATTGTTTTAAATCTCATTGAAACTTGAAAGGAAAATAAAAACATATTACAATGTGAAATAACAGCTGCAAAGAGCAATAGCATGTAACAATTACAGATATCTAGTGTAATTTCACTTGCTATCCAATTAACAGCTAAGGTACGAGCATTATTAAACTTTGGTGAACAAAGAAACCAACTTGATCTGCACGGTGATTCCCTTAAACTGGCTAACTTTCTCAATAATATCAAAATTGACAAATTATCATTTATTCTTTGTAATCCAAAGATACTGGATATTGAAAACTCAATGCATAATTACCATCTCGCTCTCGCTCACTCTCAGGCCGAGCTCTCGGTCCAGTATCTGACCAGTCACCACGAAGTCTCAAACGTTTAACTGGAGGCTGTCGTAACTAGGAAAGTAAGGAGAAGGTCACTGAACAAATCTCAAATCTTTGTAAAAGGAAAATTACTTATATGGTCCCAAATCACCTGTTAACCATAAGAAATAATCATCTAGCTTGCTTCCTCATTAAGTGTCAACATTCTAAAATGGTTCACAGACAAATAATTATCTGATAACCTTATATGTCAGAAGATGTTGATCAAATGTTATAAAGGATACTGAAGAAACATAAAGCTGAAAAGTGCAAAGCAGCACACACAACTGGTGATAATGAGTACACACTGAGATGCTTCAACCAGCTAACTTGGCATCCTGTTTATCATATGCACGGCCACTGGGCTAGGCAAGAACCTAAAATCTCCAGCCCCTGCCCTAATTATATTCAGATCATTGGTATTCTCCTGTGCCAACATAGTTAACCTGCTTGAATTACGGGATTTGTGAGCTGAATTTTAAGGTTTCATTCACTTTCATTGTCCCCCATTTCTAATATATGTCATTTAGGAAGATTCTCCTGATAGATGGACAACTCTTTTGTATTTGTCCATTTTAGTCACTAAATAATCAAAAGCATTTGTCTCTGGATAACTTCCCACTTAGCTTTCTCTTTGAAATATCTTTTTTTTTTAACTGCTCCCACCTGTGACCACAACGGATGTGTAGCAGGTTTTATTAAGCGGTCACTGAACAGGGCTCTCTGCCATTTGGCTGCTTTGCTGATTTGCCTGCTTACTTAGCCTGATGCTTTCTGTGTCCCCTCAGTAGTCAGACTGGCCCATCACCTACGCCCCTTTTTCCATAGTCCTATCTCTTTTTGCCACCCTCACCCCCTTCTCCCAAACTTCTGCCAACACCAATGATGCCCATGTTCTTCTATTCTCTACTTCAGATGACAGTGAGCACATTTACCCCAAACCTAATGCCCTTAACAGCCAATCTCACCCTCAGCATTCTTATAACTGAAAGAAAATAATTTAATAGGCACATATGTTACACTGCTTCCTGGTTTTAAGGGAGAAGAGATTCAAAGCTCAAAGAAGAGCATGACTAATTAATTAGGGCCCTCAAATTAGGAGTGGCTTCAATTTTACTTCTTTGAGACATGACTGCAGGTGGAATGGGCTGTTTCTGGAAGCAGTGGGCTTTCCATCCTTACAGGTCTTCCAGCAGGGGCAGATAACCATTTGTCTGGTATGTTAGGAGTGGGGATTCATTCTGTGTATAAGCCGGCCAAGATGACTCCCAAAGTCATTTTCCAAGTCTCAAATTCTGTGATTCTGTACTTTGGAATTGAGGAGGAAAAGGCATTCACTTGGTGATGTCCTCATAATTGGTTTTTTTTTTGGTCCATGAAAAGTTTTTTATTTTATAAAATCTCAACTAAGCATTAACAGCATCAAGGATTTCCTTTCATATCACCCTAACCAATTGGTTATTGCAATACCTACAATAACTGTTCCAAGCTTTCTTCCCTCTTTCGATGCTTTGATAGCCTTCTCTTCCCCTTCTCTTCCCCTACCTTCTCAACCAAGGACTTTACCTCAAACTTTAACAAACAAATTGAGTCCTTTTACTAAAAGTTTTTTCTTTTCTTCTCATCTCAAATTATGTGATTATTTCCTCCATTGACTCCACCTTCACTCCTGTCTCACATGAAGAGATGACATATCTCTTTGATAAAGTCATTCCTTCTGCATACATCTTTGACCACAAAACCCTCATGATTTTTCAAGCAGATTTCTCCCTCTATTATTCCAGATTTCTCTTATCTTCAACCTCTCACTATATACTGGCTCATTCCATGCTACTTACAAACAAACCCACCAATCCACACATAGTCTTATTATCTCTAATAGTTATCACCAAAATTTTAAGTGCTTTCTTAATTACCAAATCTAATTAACCTTTTTTTCAATCTTTATCTTTCTTAATCTCTCTACAGCATTTAACATTATTGATCATCTCTTAGATATACTCTTTCTACTAGATTTTCATGACACTGGTCCTCCTACAATCTTTCTCAGCGCTTTTTCTTAATTTTCTTTGTTGGTTATTGATACCACATCTCCTAACTGTGGATGTCCCCAAGTTTCTGCCTTGGCCCTTGTTACCTTTTTCTTCTATACAATAATGTATGGTGATTTTATAATTATATTTCTGTGTGGATTATACCCAGACCTATATTTGTCCTATAATGTCTCACATAAATTCTAATCTCACACCACTACCTGCCTTTAAAGATCTTTTTTTTAATTTCAAGGAATATTCCATTTATTACATACAAACTATGTTGAATCGAGCTATACAGTGGGATATGAAATCCTTTTGCCTCACTGTATTTTGTTTATTGTTTATTCAGCTTCTTTGTGGATTTAAAACAATTTTCACTTGAGTGAACAGTTCTATTCTTATGAGGGAATGAGTGAATCTTATTCTCATAGGATTTGGCTTAAGGAGGGAATAACATACACATTCAATTGGGTAAGGAAATCCGTCTTACCCTACAGGAAAATAGGGGGAGAAGGGGACAAGAGAGCAGGGGGATGATAGAGAGGAGGGCAGACTGGGAAAGGGGGGTAATCAGAAGTAAATACTTCTGAGGAGGGACAGGGTCAAAAGAAAGAATAGAATAAATAGCAGGGCAGGATAGGACTAAGGGAAATAGAATTAGTTTTTCACCATATGTCTACTATGGAAGTGTTTTGCATAACTGCATATGTATAACCTATATTGAGTTGCTTGCCATTTCAGTGAGGGTGGCTGGGGAGGGAGCAAGGGAGAAGATTTGAAACCTAAAGTTTTAAAAACATATGTTTAAAAAAACAATGTTTTCACATGCTACTGGGAAATGAGAAATACAGGAAATGGGGTACAGAAGTCTGTCCTGCCCTACAGGAAAATAGAAGGGGAAGAGGATAAGAGATAAAAGAGAAGACAGACTAGGGGAAGGGATATTCAGAATGCATGCCATCTTGGGGTGGGGGGAGGAGTGAGATGGGGTGAAAATTTGGAACTCAAAATCTTGTGGAAGTAAATACTGAAAACTGAAAATAAATAAATTTATATGAAAAAAAGAAAATAAAGTGTTGGTGAGCTACCTGAGGATGTGTCCTTTCAAGAGTGTGATCCCATCTCCCAAAGTACTAAAACTGAGTTATGAAAGGGGACATAAAGTCTTGAAAATGACACTTGATGAAAATGTTACCTGTTTCCAGAGAATCCCTTTGGCCTCATAAGAATAGAACTGTCCTCATAATTGTTGAAAAGCAAGACTACACTAGGATCCGAAGCAAAAACTGTGATGGGCTACATGTGAATAGAAGAACTGATTCTACTAGCTGATAGGCATAAACAAGTTCCTTTGGAAACTACATATGTGCATCTAGGTGTGCAATTTCATAATTTTAAAATCAACTTTAACACTAGCAACCTTCACTTCTACCCATATTTACCTACAAAAAACATTCTGCTATCAAATGCCCTGGCTATCCCCATGCCTAGAATATACTCCTTCTTTTTAGAATTCCTTGTTTCCTTCAAAACTCAATTTATTTGAAACCTTGTACACAAAAAGCCTTTGCTGACTCCTACTTACTAGTCCCTTTCTCCCCTCCACCCTTGGCACTGTGGCTGGCACATAAGCAGTTACGCAATGTTCACAGAACTGAAGTTCTTACCTCTTCTCTCCTCTCCTCGGAAGAAGGGGTTTTAAGTTCTCGTGCTGTGTCATCTTTAGGGTCAAACAGATAGATGTAATCTGAGGAATAACTAACCAGAATTTCCTGACCATCTTCACTATAACACAGAGACGTAACTCGACAAGATTTGTTATTAAGATGAGGAGGAACAAAACGAGCCACCATTCCTGTAGTCCCACGACCTGCATAATTCCCTAAATTTAAAAAAAAAGTCTTAAAATTAATGTTTTCATAAATACAGTTACAAAAGACAAACATCTGAATTACATCCTTGATCAACATTTAAATAATTTCTACCTAATACCATCTAAAAATTCATACAGTGATATAAATTTAAAATATAACATTCTATTTACATAATAAGCTTTTATTCAATAGGCAAATTAAGTTAAATATTCTCACATAATCTTTGGAACCAGGAAAATATATTACAGAGAATTAACATATCTCTAAAAAAATATTAATACCATTGGGGAAAAGGTTTAAATTGCCAAAAAAAAAAAAGAGAGAATTATTTTTCCTCTAGTAAACTGAAGTCTTTTATATTAAGTAAAAAAAAATACAAATATATTCTTCAATCATACTGGTGTCACTAGCTTTACACTGACAAAATTTTAAATACATTTTATCTTTAATAAATAAGGCAAAGCTGGTATTTATTAGAATAACAGATAAAATATGATACCCACACAAAAGCAAAGTAATTTTTTGAAAGAATCTCTGAGTAAGATTTATGTCTGAAGGTATGGATGCTATTTAAATTTTTAAAAAGTAAAAATAAGAACTGTGTATCATTTTGACAAGCTGAAGCACTGAAACTAGTTATCTGCTACATATGGCACTACTGACCACTCTTTCCTCCTGGAGACTTCCTCTTTGGTCTTCTGACATGACACTCTCCTGGTCCCACTATACGTCTAACCTCTCTTCAGTCTCCTTCACTGGTTTATCATCCACACATTTATGTTTTCCAAGGCTCTGCACTAGGCCCCCTACTTCCCTCTATACGTAATGGCTCATTTCATTTGATTCTCACAACCATCGTGGCACATGGATGTTGTTATGATCTCCATTTTAGATTTGAGAAAACTGAGGCAGAGGTTAAGTGACTTTCCCAGGGTCACACAGCTAGTAAATATCTGAGACCAGATTTTAATTCAGTTCTTCCAGACTTTAGGCTCAGCACTCTCACCGTTTTGCCACCTCTCTGCCTCTCTTCATCAAATCAGATCAAATGAGATATTTGTAAGCACTTAGTAGAGTGCCTGACACACCTCTCCCTTAGTGACCTCGTAAGCTCCCATCTAGGTTGGTGGCTCACAGGTCTGCACCCATCACCTCAGTTTATTTATTTTAACTTTCACTGGCAGCATATTTAGAATACAACTTCTCTAAGGTTTAGTGGAGAGTCTCCATGAGCTGCCATAGACCCAAACTATTCATCCAGAACCTGGTGGTGAACAATCTGTCAAGAAGTTCTTCCAAACTTACCCAGCCTTGCTCTCAGGCCACTGAATCACAGAAATGGGCTGCCAAAGACCAGAGCTGACTCTTTAAAAAAAAAAAAAAGGCAAGACCTACAAGAACTGGATCTCCATTGGGTCACCTCCATGCCACAGTGTGGCATTAGAGTAAGCCTTCAGTGGAGAAAATCCAACTAAACTGAATTCTGTTACAAACCAAAGTGACCATGAAATTTTCAAATATACCACCAATCAGAAAGTTACAAAACTAAAGCTACCTTATCAAAAGCTTACTGTGCCATAACTAATTTACATTTCTCACCTGTGGCTCTTGTGCCAAGCATTCGCCGATCATATATTCGTACAGAGCTATCAGAACAGCCAACAGCAAGGTAATATGGTATTGGGGGACAAATGGCTACAGAAGTAGCAGCACGCCGGCAGTTAATTAAGATATCCTTTGAAAAACAGCCAAAATAACACTATTTGTAAAATGTTTGTCAGTAGAAAACAAAAACATATTTTTAAAAAACTATTCCCTGTTCCTAAAACAAAAATTGCTTTCTCACAGACACTTTAATTTAGCATGACAGAAAAAAATTACAACTAAGATATCTTAAAAATGAACTGAACTGATACTGTCATAAAGTATTTCTGACTCCTTCATACCCAGCAGTGGAATATACATTTGCTTGGTGTATTTCCTGAGTTGTCATATTTTATTTTTCCAAAGAAATTTATTTAAAATTTTTTGACATTCATACTAAAACTAATCTCTAATATGATGCATATAATTTCCAAACCAATAAAATTAAGTGAAAAAAATAAATGTGCACTGAAAAACTAACAACAGTTGCTTACATTTACATAATAGTTTATTGTTATAAAGTGTTTTATATACATTATGCAGCTGAGGCAAGGTAGGCACTATCATATCTCTGCACAAATGAGAAAACTAAGCCTCAGAGAAGTTAAGTGACTAATGTGGCCTAAAGCCACACTGTTGGTAAATGGAATTCAGGATACAATACAGCTCTTCCAGCTACAAATGTAATGCTCTTTATTGTATCTTGCTGTTTGCTCAATAGAACAATAAGATCAAAATGTGAAAAAAAAACACCAAACACCCCCAGACATTTGGCTTTGAGGTAGGAAAGGAATTCTGCAGACAAAAGGAAGAAAAAAGTCATTCAAATTTAAGCTGACTGTGTTGAATCAGAAGAAGTTAAGAAAAGACTTTATTACAGTTCATTGAAATCCTTTAGAAAAAAGTCTCATACTAACTGCTAACAAGAAGTTATTGTTACTGACATGGCTACTAACAAGTACTTACTGCACTCTTTAAGTTCTCTTACAATCACTTAACAGACAGTGGTCTTGAAGTACCATGTCAATAATGCAAAAAACTGTAAGAAAAACACATGGTCTAAACACCAAGCTAACAATGAGGGTAGATGAATGACAATCTGCCATGGAAGGAGATGTTCTTGGTTGCCTCAGATAAACTGTACTGATCATTTTAAATAGTGCTTATAATATGTTAACTGTTCATATATTAAAAGACACTATATTATTAATTTAGTCTTTTTTCCCCTATTGTATCCTCAACTATCTGAAAAAATTCTTCCTAGTTCACAAAAGCACAAGAAGGATGCCTTCAGAACAGTATCATTACTCATTACTATTCAAATATAACAAATAACTATCGTTATGCTCAAGTTCAATATTAGTTCCTCAAGAGGGTGTCTCTAAAGCACATTCCATCTAACTACTGCTGATGTTTCACTATAATTCCTTTGGTCTTTTACTAACCTGGTACACAGTTACATTTTTCTTGAAAAAAATAATTTTCTTACGTATTCTGAGTCCTCAGTCTCATGATATTTCCCACTAAACTGAATTCACTAGCCAATTATTTTTCATGGTTCTTAACTCAATAACTATTATTTCCACAGTTTTTACTTTATTTTTCCTCTCACTGTGCAACTAACTACACTTCACTTTTTTGTGTGCAAAATAATCAAAAGCTGACCAAGAGATTAGTGGGGCATACTGATCTACCTTGTTTCCTCAGTTTCTACTGACCCTATACTTATTCAAATACAATAAGAATTCATCGTAAGTTATATAGCAATTTAAGTCTTTGAAGTATATTGTGTGCCCCAACCATTCTCATACACGTCTTTTAAAAGAAAAGTAGGTGATAACTGAACACTCCTTCAACGAGATTCTGTTTTGTAAGACGATTTACCACAGGTTGTTTTTTGATAGCTGGTACCTATGTTGCATTTAAAATATGATCTAATTTACACAATCTGATTTACATATAACTTTTCTGGATTCATCTATTAATAGGAGTACAGCCCTTAATTGCAGTAGCAACATGGAAAGTTATCCCAGTGGTGCAGAGGGGACAATATTCTAGGAGTGGCTAGGGGACATAGCACTGGAGCCAACTGGGACGCAGGAGAGAGATTTTTTTCAAAATTTTATTTTATTCTGAACTGAAGAAATAAAACAAGCATTTCCATAACAAAATGGGATAGAAAAACAGAGGATTGTGTATGAAACTGTAGATCCATTATGTAGCACTTGCTATTCCTTTCAAATATACAACAAAGTTGTCGTGTAACTTTTTTTTTTACCCCCTTACCCCACTTCGAGATGGCTACCATTGGACAAATGTGTGTGTCTGTATATGTATATATACATAGACACGAAGAAACACAGACACACATACACACACACATCAGTTCTTTTTCTGGATTCAAATAGCATCTTCATAGGATCTTTGTGGTTAATTTGGGTATTTATAATAGTCAGAATAACTTGGTTGCTCAAAGCTGTTCTTAAAATACTACTATCACTGTATACAATGTTCTTTTGATTCTGCTCATTTTGCTCAACATTATTTCACAGAGTTCTCTCTATGCTTTTCTAAATTCATTAAGCTCATCATTTCTTTTTTTTTGGGGGGGGGTTAGGCAATGGGGTTAAGTGACTTGCCCAGGGTCACACAGCTTGTAAGTGTTATGTGTCTGAGGCCAGATTTGAACTTGGGTCTTCCTGAATCCAGCACTGGTGCTCTATCCACTGTGCCACCTAGCTGCCCCTGAGCTCATCATTTCTTAAAGCAGAATAATATTCCATCATGAACATATAGCACAATTTTTTTAGCCATTCCCCAACTGATAGGCATCCCTGAAACTTCCAGTTCTTTGCCACCACAAAAAAAGCTGCTATAAATATTTTAGAACATGTAGCTTCTTTTCCTTTTTTCTAATCATCTTGGGAAACATGTCTAATAATGGTATTGCTGTGTCAAAAAGCATATAGGCAGTTTATTAATTCTTTGGGCATAATTCCAAATTTCTCACCAAAACGGTTGGATCAGCTCACAGATCCACCAACAATGAATTAAGGTCCCAATTTTTCCACATCCCCTCCAACATTTATCACTTTCCCCTTCTATCATTTCAGCCAATCTGATAGGTGTAAAATGGTATCTCGGGGGGGCAGCTAGGTGGCACAGTGGATAGAACACAAGCCCTAAAGTCAGGAGGACCTGAGTTCAAATCCGGCCTCAGACCAAACACCTGACACTAGCTGTGTGACCCTGGGCAAGTGACTTAAACCCAACTGCCTTTAAAAAAAAATTGTATCTCAAGGTTGTTTTAATTTGCATTTCTCTAATCAATAATGATTTAGGTAATTTTTTCATATGTCTGCAAATTGTTTTGATTTCTTCATTAGAAAGCTGTCTGTTCATGTCCTTTGACCATTTATCAATTGGGGAATGACTTGGATTCTTATAGATTTGACAAAGTTCTCTATATATTTAAGATGGAAGAACTTTCTCTGAAGAACTATTTATAAAAACTTTTTCCCCAGTTTTCTACTTTCCTTCTGATCTTGGCTACATTTGCTTTATTTGCACAAAATTTTTTTAGTTAAATGTAACCAGAACTATCCGTTTTACATTTCACAATGCTCCCTACCTTGTTTGTTCATAAATTGTTCACCTTAAACCTGATAAGTAATACGTTCCATGCTCTTCAAATTTTCTTGTAATGCTCCCTTATCAGGTCATGTATCTATTTTGACCTTATTACGTTGGAAAATAGTGCAAGATAATGATCTATGCCCAATCTATGCCAGACCTGCTTTCCAGCTTTCCCAAAAATTTTTACCAAATAATGAATTCTTATCCCCAAAATGTAAGTCTTTATACTTGTCCAAACATTAGGTTACCATATTCATTTGCTGCTGTAGATTGTATGTCTACTCTATTCCACTGATCTACCTTTCTATTTCTTAGCCAGTATCAGATAATTTTGATAATTACTGTCTTATAATATAGCTTAAGATCTGGTACTGCTAACTCTCCTTCCTTTATATTTTTTTCCATTAGCTCCTTTGATATTCTTGACCTTCAATTAACTGTTTAGCTGAGTCTTTAGTATTTTCCAAGTACATCATCATATCATCTGCAAAAAGAGATAGTTTTATTATCTCATTCTCTATTCTAATTCCTTCTATTTGTTTTTCTTCTCTTATTGCTATTGCTAGGATTTCCAGTACAATACTGAATAATACTGGTGACAGTGGGCATCCTTGTTTCACACCTGATCTCACTGGGAAGGCTTCTGGCTTATTCCCATTACAAATAATGCTTGCTGATAGTTTTAGGTAAATGCTTCTTATCAATTAAAGGAAAAGTCCATTTATGCCTATACTTTTAAGTATCTTTAATAAAAATGAGTGTTGTACTTTATCAAACGCTTTTTATGCATTTATTGATATTATATTATCTTTGTTGCTTTTATTATTGATAAAATCAATTATTTTTTTTTCTTGTTGCTCATAATATTTTCTTCTTAACCTGGGGGTTTTGAAACTTGGCTATGATACTCCTGTAGGTTTATATCCTAGGATCTCTTTCAGGTGGTGATCAGTGGATTTTTTTTTCCCAGTTCTACTTTCCCCTCTTGTTCTAATACTTCAGGGAAATTTTCTTTAATTATTTCTGTAATACTTTATCAAGATTCTTTTTCTGGGCATAGTTTTCAAACAGTCCAATAATTCTTATATTTTTCTCTTCTTGACCTGTTCTCCAAATCAGCTGGTTTTTTTAATGAGATGTTTCACATTCTATTTTTTCATTCTTTTAGTTTTGTTTTATTATTTCCTGGTATCTTACAACATCATTCGCTTCCCCTTGCCCAATTCTAGTTTTCAAGGAGTTGTTTTCTTCCTTAAAATTCTGGATCTCCTTTTCCAGTTGGTTGACTTTGTTTTCATGATATTTTTTGGTTTTCTTGTTCTTTTTTTTTTCTAATTTTTCCTCAATTTCTCTTATTTGATTTTTAAAGTCCTTTTTAAGTTCTTTTTAAGAACTCTTTTTTGCCACATGACCATTGATATTGTTCTTTGGGGCAGGAAAGGCTTTTGTTTGCTTCAGTATTTTCTTCTGAAAATGAACTCAGGTCTTCTCTATCCCCACAGTAACTGTCTATGGTTGGGTTCTTTCTCCTTTGCTTACTCATTTTCATTTTGTTTCGTTTTGATTTTTAGTAGCTTGTTACTTCTAGTCCCAGGATGTGCAGGGTGCCTCTGGTCTCAGGACCTTCTTACTGTTATTTTCTGAGCTTTATCCGGGGCCCAACCTCAGCACTCCTCTTCCCCTCTAAGCCACAGCTGAGGCCCCCAGCCACACTATGCTGGAAATGCTCTTGCTTCCTGAGGAACTTCAATGGCTGAAACCTTCAATTCTTCCCTCTGGCCTGGAACCAAAACCAAGAACTGAGCTCTCCTGTAAGTGCTCACAGCCAACTGAATCCCTGCCCCACTGCTTCTGCACTCTCTGGCCTTGTGCTAACACCTTCTTGCCTTCAGCCGCAGCCCAGGACCATGTCTTGGCAGTACAGCAGGGTCTGGTGTCCCTGGGCAGCAGAAGTCCTTCCTTCTTCCCTTGCTCCGATGTTTGACCCCTCCACAAAGTCTGTGAGGTGAGAATTCCTCTGGCTGAGACTGGGGCTAACTCTCAACCTAGCTGCCCCCAGAGCTTGTTGTTTCAGCAGAGGGAGACAGCCTGGAGGTGTCTGCACTTCACTCATGCTCAAACCTCTGTCCCTGGAGTCTTTCCTTGGGTCTTCTCCAGTTGTCCCAGAAGACCAGTCATCTGCCCCAACTCTTGTTTATTTTTGCTGTTCTATGTTCACCCTGAAGCATTATTTTGTCTTCTTTGTGGAGGAAATCTGGAGAGCTTGGAATTTTTTTTCTACTCCACCATCTTCCCCAGGAGAGAGGAGATTTTGCTTCAACTGAGGTGGTGGTTGAAGGAATCTTCTCCCACATAATTCACAAAGCAGATAATTGAGAACTGATTATAAATTAGTTCTATGCTATAAATGACCAACCTTGGTGGACTATAAAACATGTTTAACTGAAAAAAATATTAAAGCTCCCAAAGTAAGATTTATTTTGCTACTGTGTCATATTTGCCAGAGGAAAGCTAGTTAAAAATGACAGATACTGTCCCCCCAAAAAAGAGATAATCTGAACTATATTTTAAAAATGTGCTCCCCAAATTGACAGATTTTAGTTACTCTTATGTCATAGTCTAGCTTTAGGTCTAGGCTTCCCAATATATGTAGGAAAAGTCAGATAATGCTGTTTCATGTTCTGATATTAAGAAATTCATGTGTGGCACAATAGGGACAAGAGAACTAAACTCATTGTCCTGAGCTGCCATTAATTATTTAGGTGACCTTGGTCTAGCTAATTAACTTCTCTGAGTCTCAATTCCTCTTCTGCAAAAAGTGGGGGAATGGTATTTTTAAGGCACCTATCATTTTAGAGACCTACCTTCTGACAAGAAGACTAGAACATCTGATTCTTAAGTGTTTAAAACCACTGTATTATCCTGCTCATGCTTTATCATCTTTAATTGTTGTTGGTTTTCAACTATGAGTGAACTGAACCCCAGAAGTAAAGAATGCTAATTTCCATAATTCTTTAAAACAGGCGTAAATGCAATGAGTCTGTTAATTAATTTTCAAAATCTTTTCTTTTTTTTATTATGCATTTAAGTTTTTGCATTTGTCTAAAATTAAAAAAGAAAAAAAATTTCAAAACTCTAATATTTCCGTAATCTCTTCACTTAAATTTGATTCTTACATCTTTGCAATCTTCTTTTGTACAACTCGTCTTGATGCGGGTATCAAACCACCTAACAGTCCCATCTTCACCACAAGAAAGGAAAGTATAAGGATCATTTGGTACTGTCATAATCTGAAATTTAAAAAAGAACACACACATATTTATTTATGTATAGTCACTTGTAATAGATTCCACTGCCATACCTATAGAAGGATTTACTGCTAAAATCATTCCAGATGAATCTTTAATTTATCATATCTCAAAAGAAGCTGATCCCAGAATACACCTCAATATATGGGAAGAATTTTTTCCTTGTTATTTTCTTTGCTAGTATGTATTTAATTAGATGCTCTTGCTTTATTTAAATTAATGAGTCTTCTTGTTTGGTTTGATAAAGGGAACATCAAATGGGATTTTATGAGGTGTGACTTTGCAGATATGACAAAAGAGGACCTTGGACTTGGAAGAAACTGTCAGAGCTCCAACTTGGGCTAGACTTAAAGGCAGTCAAGTATCAAAATTAATTAATTTAAATATAGTTATTAAATAAGTAGATTTGTATTGCTGGTGATGTTAAGTTTCTAATAAGACATGCTCAAAAGATACACTTGTAAAGCGCTTGCACCATGCAAGGCACACAGTAGTCATTATATAAGTGCTTACTCTATTCCTTTTACAACAGATTAAACTCATTTCTTTTTTGCATAATTACTAGAAAAGTAAATTAGGAAATATTCTATAGATACAGTTTACCTAGATTTTAACAAAGCAATCGATAAAGTCCTTCATTCTATTTTTGTGGGGAAAATGGAGAGACAAGCTAGATGACAGTACAATTAGATATATTAGGAATGGTTGAAAGAGTAGCGAGTGTTTCCTGTCACCTTGGAAGGAGAGGTCCAGTGGAGTGACCCAGAGATACGTGCCTTAGTCCTGTGCTATTCAACATTTTTATCAGTGTCTTGGAATAAAGGCATTGGCAGCATGCTTATCCAATTTGCAGATTTATAGGAGAAGGAATGAATTAAAATAGCATTTATTATGTGTTTACCACATTTTGAGCACTTTACCAAGTGCTAGGGATACAATTATACAAGCAAGATTATCCCTGTCCTCAAGGAACTTTTGCCATCACAGTGCTGTTTAAAATGACTGGTTGCCTAAGACTCTTAAGTAGACCAACTAAACTCTTATTTGGAGGTGTTTCCCCTTCATGCCAACCCATAAATGAAAGCTGGCAGACCAGTCTTTCATCTTTCTTCTAGACTGCAACTGGTAGGAGGTGTCTTTAGTTAATGTTGTCTTGGAGCAGAAACACACATACTTGCCAACATACAAGAGCAGAGTTCCTGAGAGTGGACGTTACCATCAAAAGACTAAGAGCAGTTAAAGCAGTATCATAAGTTTTTGCAGAAGCACTTGGCAAAAAAAGGGAATTCTTGGAGATAATCTAGTCTAATCCCCTCGTTTTACAAATAAGAAAATGGAGGCCTGTAGAGGTTAAGTGACTTGCCCAAGGTCACACAGGCAATAATCATTAGAAGTAGGACTTGAACCCAGAATCTGACTCCAAAGTCAATGCTCTTTCCTAGGTACAACTACATGGCCTATAGTTCACGGACAATGTTCCTGTATCCCAATCTCCTTCGTAGAATGGGGGAATCTTTACTTTCTAGGCTGTGTGATACCAGAGTCGAGCCTTCTGGCAAAGAAGTGATATTTCTGTGGGCAGCACTAACCCCAAGGATTGAGTTACACCAAATATGAGAGTTTGGGGAGTTGGCTGCTTAGGAGGGAAGAAAATGAGGAACACACCTCTTGGAGAAGAAGAAGGCTCATTTTTATGGCCCCTTTAACTAGAGACCCCTGTAGTTCTGTGCCTCATAGAAGCATAAACTATATTGTGTCTTCCTGTAACCAATGAGACACATTAACTAAGAGGCTTTAGACAATCATAAAAAGCCCACCACTAATCGCCAAAAAGCCACTGATACCTCAAAAGCCGATGTCGGTAAGCCATAGAACAGGGTTGGGGAACCTGTGGCCTCAAGGCCACATGTGGCTCCATAGGTCCTAAAGTGTAGCCTTTGACTGAGTCCAAGTTTTACAGAACAAATCCTTTTATTAGGGGGATGGATTTATGCTGTGAAGTTTGGATTCAGTCAAAGGGCTGCACTTGAGGACCTAGAGGGCCACATGTGGCCTGGAGGGCACAGGTTCCGTACCCCTGCCATTGATCAAGACCTTGCTGCCCTCCTGCTATTATTATGATTTACTCTCATATTGCGGGTCTGATCATAAAAGGGGTACATATCTAGTAGCTCCAAAGTATATCTGCCTTCTGTGGGCAGCTTCAAGTCTAGAAGAAACTTGGTAGGCCTGTGGGAGAGAAGGATTTCACTGGAATGTCATAGGGTTGCTCTGATGGCAAGCCCAAGTCTAGTTCCTTTCTGAAAGGAGGTCATTGGCTACTATGAGTGCTTGGGAGGGCTTTGTGTACTTTCTGCAGCTATTTATAGGATGTCCTCCACTTGATATGCACTCACTACCTTGAGTTCTGACGGGAGATGGAGATCGTAGTGCTCTCATTTCTGAAAGCCTATATATGAGCCTACGTGGAGTTCTTCCAGCTTCTTGGTGAAAGCTTACAAGACAAAGGGGGAAAAATGACCTTTTCTGATCAGTCCCTGAGAGTAGACATTCACTAAGTAATCCCAGAGCTTGGAGGGGTAGAGGTGGGGAAAGAGGCCCTCAGCCCTTGGATATATACAAAAGCACTGAACAAGGAGAGATACCCAGAATATAATAGCTATACAAAATGAAGTCCTACAAGATATGGCATGGCAAAATGCTTTTCTGAAAGGCATTACAAGTAGAATGGACATGCTGGAGGAGTGGTGAGCAAGCTTCAGTCGTCTTTTACTATCGATTTCTTTATCACAAACCCTAATAATGGAATTTAAGGCCAAAGTCTGTGCTACTTTTTTTTTCATTTAATTATACCTAGCACTAGGAGGCATCTGAGTGGCTCAGTGGATCGAGTGCTAGTCCTGGAGTCAGGAAGACCCGAGTACAAATCTGACCTCAGACACTTACTAGCTGTGTGACCCTGAGCAAGTCACTTAACCTTGTTTGCCTCAATTTCCTCATCTGTAAAATGAGCCGGAGAAAGAAATAGCAAACCACTCTAGCATCTTTGCTAAGAAAATTCTGTGGGCAGTATAATCCCTGGGGTCATGAAGAGTTGGACACAACTGAACGACTGAATAACAACATCATACCTAGCATACCACCTTGAATAGCAAGAAAGCATTTAATAAATATTTACTGTAACTGAACTAAAACATCTAAGAGTTTTTATTTCTTGCTAGATTTTAAAGTCAAGAGTAAGGAGCCTGTTGTTGCATGAAGAGGTTAGGTTTTGCTTCTTTTCCTCAAGGCAGATACTCATTTCTTCCCTCTCTCCCCACCACAGGGAACCTCAAGGGTCCCCAGGGAACTGTGTGTGTGCCAGGTATCTTCACAAACTGGGGTCTGAGGTATCTAAGCAGCCATTCCAACCCTATTAGAGCTTCCAGTCTCAAGACAAGATGAAACTTTTGGGGTACAAATTTGGGATGCATAAGGATGTGGGATGTATCTACTCCTAAAGACATTGTGGCTTTCATCCTTTGTTTTTAAATTTTAAATTTTTTTTTAATTTTTAGACAATTGGGGTAAGTGACTTGCCCAGGGTCACACAGCTAGTAAGTATCTGAGGCCGGATTTGAACTCAGGTCCTCCTGACCTCAGGGCCGGTGCTCTACCCACTGTACCACCTAGCTGCCTCTCATCCTTTGTTTTGCAACATTATTTCATGTGAAGTCCTGTTTTCGTGGACCTGGTTCAGATTATTAGATGGAGTATACCTAGAGCTGCGCCTTATTTCCTTTGCCACCTCTTCCTTTGTGCACACTCACATTTTCAATAAAGCTTTCCCCATAAGAAGCTGTGATTTCTTCCCAACCCAGCTGTAAACATCGAACTCCCTTCTTCCCTAACCACAATCAGGACACGTAATGCTCCTTCCGTGTGAACGCCGTACACGTCCTCAATCACTGTCACTGGGGCCCTGCATTTGCTCTGACCATTGCTGCTGCTGTTCAGCCGTGCCAGCTGGGTCAGATTCTTCATGATGCCCTTTGGGGTTTTCTTGACAAAGATACTGGAGCGATCTGCCACGTCCTTCTCCAGTGGATTAAAACAAACAAAGGTTAAGTGACTTACCCAGGGTCACACAGCTAATCAGTGTCTGAGGCTGGATTTGAACTCAGATCTTCCTGAGACCAGGTCCAGCACCCTATCCACTGAGCATTTAAGCTGCTTCCTCATGTAATAATCCAATAATGACAAATACCAAAGAATTGTGGCTTCATAGCAAACGGATATACAAATGAAGGAATCCAGACAAGATAAAAAGCTACAATTTCCTATCTATGAAAAGATAGACAATCTCTGTCTTCCTGGAGCTTAGTAGGTTATCCCTTGGTAGGGGTACAGACAGAGTTATAGCTAACATAAGAAGGTCAAAATAATAAGACATTAAATGCATTAGAGATGAAAAACAATCAAGAAACATTTACTAAGGGCCTACTCTGTACCAGGCACTACGCTAAGCTCTGGAAAACAAAGTACTGTGTGAGGTTTGAGTGGGAAAAGGTCATCACCAACTGGGGAGAAATGGGAAAGGAACACCAAGAATTAAATAAAGAGGAAGAGGGAAAGCATTCCAGGCTCAGGGAACAGTGAATAATGACAGCAGTCAGCAAAGCCCACGGAATGTTTGGGAAGAACAGAGGGTAACCAGCTTTAATTGGCATGGAGAATGCATGGAAAGAACTATTAAGATTTTAATTATCTAGACAAAAAAAATTATAAAATGTAACTTTTGGGAAATAATGCAAAACTGAGGAACAACCTAGAACAGCTGGTCAGCGTTCCTGATTTCTCACGCAATAATAATCTTTCCATGCTTATTTTCCTCCTGTATTAGACTAAATCTGTACTTTCATATAACCCTAACACATTACTGTACCTCATAGGTAGTTCCATAATGGCACGTGAATTGGCATTGTCTGTTAGTCTCTGCATCTTGATCGACATTAGTATAAAAAATGACTCCATCTCCAGAACAGGATACAATCTGTTTGTCGTTGGTGCAGGGTAAGAATTTTGCACTAAATATATTTGCCCTGTGTCCTGAGCGAATTGTTGTCAAGACCTAGAACACAAAAAGAAAGGCTCCCTGTAAATTCTTTCCCATAATTTTTTTACAGCTATTCATATAACGATCGAGTTAAGATTAATATTCCCACACCAAATTCCCATTAATGTTTTACATCTCAGAGATCAGAATTTTATTCTGATGACAACACAGTAACTACATACGAGCAGAGATGGTAAGCAGAACAGAAAACAGTCCCCAGTCTGTTGCCGAGTCTGGTTTCTCCCCTCACAGCATCGTCAGTATGCCGCACACACTCTTTTCTTACTCACTCAGTTGCCATCCTGGTGCAGGTTCAATCATCTCATGCCTGAACTATGACAAGAGCTTTCTGGTTGGTCTCCCTACCTCAAATCTGTCCCCACTCCGACCCATCTTCCACTCACTTGCACACTTCTGTCATTCCTCTCCCCCACTCAATACATTTCAGTGGCTCCCTATTACCTCTGAACCCTCTGACTTTTAAAGACCTCCACAAGTTGGCCTCTTCCTACCTTTCTAACATTCTTGCACTTTACTCCCCTCCACACACTCTATGATCCACCCCCATATCTTTTCACTGGCTGTCCCCCATGCCTGGAAGATTCTCCCTTCTTCTCATCTCCATCTCCTGGCTTCCTTCAAGACTCTGTTCAAATCCCACCTGCAGGAGGACTTACCCCTCCATGCCACCTGCCTCAGACGCTGACTAGCAGTGTGATCATGGGAAGGTCACTTATGCTCCCAGCCTTAGTTTCCTTATATGTCAAACGGGGATAATAATAACACCTCCTTTGCAGTGTTGTTATGAGAATCCACTTACACTGTAAAGATCTGGCACATAGTTTGTAATTGTTTACATGTTGATGCCCATTAGAATGTAAGCTCCTGGAGGTCAAGGAATGTGTTTACCTTCCTTTGAACCACAGGGCTTATCATACAGAAAGGGTTCACTAAATGTCTGCTGACTGACAAGTCTTGATGACTGTCTTAAACTCTGGGTGGCTGGCAACCTTTCAGAAGTGTAACACCACCTCATTCATTCGCTCTCCAGGTCTTTGCCCCCAACACAAGTACACGAAGAAACTGTAAGAGTTTCTACCTGCCTACCTGGCTCATGAGATGGGATTCCCTCCCACCCCAGCTCCCACGGGTTAAAGAGGCATTCAAGAGCATCACCCAAACTCCCAGCCACAGGCCCTTCCTATAATCCCTAACATGTCCAGAACTGGCACTACAATTCCACTAGACGTTTTAAAGGTCTTTCCATCTTAAAACTAGTCTTTCACACGTAAATAACTTTTGTAAAGTGCTTTATGATTTACAAAGTACTTAAAGATTTTTTTTTTAGTTTTCTCTTGGTAGAAGTGGCTAAGTGGTGCCATGGTGCACAAAGCACTGGGCCTGGAATCAGAAAGATCCATGTTCAAACCTAGCTTAGATACTAGCTGTGTGACCCCTGGGCAAGTCATTTCACCTCTATTTGCCTCAGTTTTCTCATCTGTAAAATAGGAATAGCATACGTACCTCACAAAGTTGTTTTGAGGATAAAATGAGAAAATACACGTAAAGTGTTTTGCAAACTCTAAAGTGATGATGGTGGTGATGAAGACGAAGAAGAAGAAGAAGAAGAAGAAGAAGAAGAAGAAGAAGAAGAAGAAACAGGGGCTGAGAGAAGTTAGTAACTTGCAAAACTGTAGAGCCAGTAGTTGTCTGAAACAAGATTCAAACTCAGGCCTTCCCGACTGTAGGCCCAGCGCCCTAGTCACTCAAACAGGCTCCTTCTATTTCATAAAGGGCAATATCTTAGTTCACTTTCAGCTAGACCCTTAAATAACAGGGATGGTGGCTTTGGAGAGAAAAGATCCTGAGGGAGGGAAGCTGATGGGTAAAAACAAGAGGCCGGAAAGAGGGGCTCATAAAGGATTCAATTCAATGTAACAAGCATTTATTAAATTACTGATATGCGTTGGGCCCTGTGTTAGGCCTTACGGACACAGAGACAAAATTAAACAATTTCTGGCCTCAAGGAATTTTTTGTTTTGTGGGGAGGGGGATCAGGTACAGGCAGAGAACAGAATTAATCAACAAGAATTTTTTTAAAAAAGATGGCTAAATTTTGGAGATACAAAGAAAAAAGAAACAGTCCCTGTCTTCAAGTAATATGCATTTTATCTGGGGACATAAGATGTGCCTATACAAACACACATACCTCTAGGCACATACAAATCACACGCAAAACTGTTAAGTTAACTTCTGGGGGAGGGGTAGCACTATTAGGAGAATGGAGAATGTGGCTCTTGAGATAAACCTTGAAGAAAATCAGGGATTCCGTGAGGGAGCAATGGCAGGGAATTTTAGACACGGGGAACAAGGCCAAAACCCAGCAATGGGAACAGCAAGAAAGTCAGCTGACCTAAACCCTGAATGCACAGGGGGAGTAATATGTAATGAGACTGGGAAGGCAGGATGAGCCAGATTGAGAAGAGCTTTAAATGCCTATTTAAATGAGAAATGTCCATCTGATCCTAAAGGTCAGTAAAGTTTACTAGATAGGGGAGACGGCAGAAGAGGGACGATGTGCTCAGAAGTCACTTTTAGGACAATCACATTAGTGGCTGTGTGCCTGATACACAGCGCGTGTTTTATGTTTTATCTACGTATCCAACTGTCTAGAAGAGTAATAACGAAAGTCATGATTGTCAACAGAGCTATCATTTATGTAACGCCTTGAGATCTGCAAAGTGCTTTATGACCACAACCTCATTTCATCCTCACAACAACTCTGTAACGCAGGAGCTATTTTTACCTCCATTTTACAGACAAGGAAACTGAGACTGAGGGATGAAGTGATTTGCTCAGAGCAACAAGGCTGGTAAGTGCCTAAAGCAGCATTTGAATTCAGGTGTTCCTGACAATCAAGTAGCTGCCCAATCGTAAGGCTACTGCAATAGTATGGGCCAGAGGTGATAAGGACTAAAACTAGAGTGGTGCCAATGTGAGTGGGGAGAAGATGGATGCAAGAGATGCTGTGCAGAAATCACAGGATCTGACAGCTGAGTGAGAGTAAAGAATGGAAGGTTCCTGATCCCACTAAACTAGGGAGATAACTGCCGGTGAACCCGGGTTACCAGAATCCTGGCAGTCCTTTAGGGACGTCTGGAAGTCAGGTCATTTGGGGGGAGACGGTGAATTCTGTTTTGGATATGCTGAGTTTGAGATGCCTAGGAGACATCTCATTTGAAATGAACAGTATTCAGTTAGGCAAGTGGGAATGGGCAGAAAGGGAAGTGTACAAGAGGCGCGAAGGCAGAAAGCAAAAACGTAGCCACAGTCTGAATGTGGGGAGCACGTGGGATGCTACCTCATGTGTTATGGACAGAGACGCTGACCCACTTAACATCTTTGGTTGTTTTATGAAACTCAGTGACTTTCACAATGTCAGAATGAAGCAATATTACAGCTGGGCTGACGCGTTTCAATTCCCAGTTATCTGCTTATATTCACCAAACCATCCCTCCTATGGCACATTTAGAAAGGATGATTCTTTTAGCATTTCTTTTCAACTGCCTGTTTATGCTATAACTCCAACTACCATTGTCATGGATAAGGAAAGCTCATTACAATGATGTATAAATTTTGTATAAACATAAGTAGTTCTTTGATTTTATTACTTCAAGAATAGAAGCCGTTTGAATTTGAATAAGGATAAAGTTACAAAACTCTGAAGGGGGAAAAGTTGTTTCTGGGCCTCGACTACTTATTGTAAGACTTGAATTATAGAAGTTACTGGAATAAATGAATGAAAATGCATTTATTAAATACTTACTATTTGAAAAACACTGTGCTGCATGCTAGGAACACAAATACAAAATTAAGTTATCACCTAATAGAGGAGATGGTTAAGAAGATAAATCTAACTCCCAAAATTATATAACACATTTTAAAATCAAATACAAATGGAGAGGAACAACAGGATAGAGGAAACAGTACAGGAAGGTTTCCCTCCACTAAGACTGCACAAAACACCTAAATAAACCAGACTAAATCCTGATCAGGAAATCCCAGATAAAAATCACAGTGTTTCCTTTTTGTAGCCCAGATCTGTCTAGGGAGACAGAGGAGCATGTGGGATGGAGCCTTCAGGACAGAGCCTGACCTGGGGCTTGCTGTTGTCTTCTGGGCAAAAAAAGGCCTTTATTCCAGCACTGAAGGGTCTGATGCTGTGAAGGAAGCAGGAATAGGGTCCAAATGGCAACTCCGTCACTTATGCTACAGAGCTTAGTCTCAGATTCAGGGTGTACTCAGAAGGGAACCTGTACCCATGGAGGTGTGGATGAGGGAAAGGAACAGCTGTGGGCCTGAAGCTGTGTACTGAGCAAAGAGCAGGAGCAGAAGATAGCGACAACTGTGTGGCTCTGAGACTAGGAATGGAGTAGGGTCTCAGATCCAATTCCCAGCCCAGTACGAAGCCTCTAGTGGAAGAATCTCAGGACAAGAAGCCTAGACCTCAAAGAGAAGTGTGCAATGCTATCATTCTGAACCTGAAGAGCCTTTCAGCTAACTGATCAGGGTTGGATCCAAAAGCAATCTACTGGAGCTCCAACCAGAGGCAATCTCCACAGCTGTGTGTCTCAGACCCAAACCCGGTTAGGAGCTTGAAAAGCTCAGACTGCTCTAGGTGTACTAAAGGCTTGTAGATTTTTAGCCCAGGGGTAGGCAAACTACAGATTGCCTGTTTTTGTAAGCTCACAATGGTTTTTTACATTTAAAAAAAAGTTTTATTGCATTTTAAAATGTAAAGTCTGTCCTTAGCTGTCAGACAAATACAGGCAGCAGGCTGGATTTGACTCTCAGGATATAGTCTGTGGATCCCAGCCCTAGCCTAAGTTACCCCTAATACTCTTAAAGAACATAACACTTAAGACCTGGGAAAGACATTAATAGGACTCATGAGAATACAAAATAGGATCAAGAACAGCTCAGCTATTCCCTCAAGAAGTACACAGAGTCTGACC